ACCATGGGGCGCGGTCGGACAATATCACTCTTGTAAGCGACGATGAAGACACTGTCTCGCTAGCATTGTCAAGTTTAAGTAGACTGCTTTGATAGTGTGAGCTGGCCTTTATGGAACTCGGCCGCCTCGAGGTTGGCACAGAAAGCGCGGTGGACCGCGGCAAGTCAATCAAGTCGTTCTTGATGTCATTATTCCAGGCTGACGACCACCACAGTGTTGAAGGGCTCGACACTTTCAATGCGTGCTATGGTGGGACAAATGCATTATTCAGTACCACGAGCTGGCTCCAGAGCAGAGCATGGAATGGCATGTACGGTGTCGTGGTCTGTTCCGACCCGGCGGTCCACCCAGATCCTGCTCATATCTCTGGTATTGGGGTGTCTTCAATATCCCTGGTGGTAGCGTCGCAAGCAGCATTGCTGCTCCAGCGAGAGCGCGCGACATTCATCAAGCACTCCTGGGACTTCTATCGGCCCGTCGGGTGGCCCACAAACGACGCGGTAATAGACGTGAACATCGCAACTGGTCAATACGAAGAGGCCATGATGTGGTGCCAGGGCTGATTTAGTGAAACAGTGGGTCGACGGGAACTACTGGCAACCTTTGATCTAGTCGCGTACCACAATAACGCTCCTTATCATTCAAAGAGGAACCTGTGACTCATGTGTGGAGTGATGTATGGTAAACTTTCCAAGGCCCAACACGAGAATTTGTTCCAAAAGCATGTTGAGACTGGCGTTGCCATAAGTGCCCAGAATGCTACCACCTACACGTGCCCGGTCTATGCTAGTTTACTTTCACTCGCTCTGAAGATTGGTGACAGCCTTGCTATTCAACGCACCCTGTGCATGGCATATGGATCCGGTTGCGCCGCTAGCATGTTCGGACTGGACGCTACTGCTGCGCCCGTGTACGCTTCAGATGTGCTTGTCGGTCTAAATAGTCGATAGCAGACATCGACAGAGGACGCCCTACTACTAGTAAATGCTTTCGAGATGACACACAGATGATTTGGATACGAGCCATCGCATCGCGAGAGCTGATAGGATGCAGCCTTTTATCTCAAGAGCGTTAGTGCAATGGGGGTCCGTGCCTACGAAGCCCATTCGACGGTTACGTTGATCAAGGTAGACTCGCTGGATTCTTCTCGTGTTGTCCGCGTCGAACTGGCCTAGGACTCAGTGACTGACTCCTTGGTCGAGGAGCTCACCCCAGTTCTAGATGATCCAGGACGAATCATGGTTTTCGCGTTTGCCACTGCTGCTGATAGTGGTGTCGAAAGCGCCGTGGCAGCGAGAACCCTTCTCAATCACTTCTCGTCACGAACCAGTCATCTTCCCATCGTCTTCTTGAGTCACGGGCATACGACGGGGGGGGGAATGCTGATTGTTGCAGTTGCAGATCTCGCGATTGCAACGTCTCAGTCTATGTTTGGACTTTCTGTCACGCTTCGTCAACCCCTGGGCGTTGCCCTGGTGGCGCTCCGCAGGCGAGTCAGATGCCACCTCATTCGGCGATGGGTGCTGCTTCAAGAGGACATTGACGCGAGCACCGCGCTGAGGAGCGGCCTCATTGAGATCATTACCCCGACAGGTGAAGAACATCACTTTCCGTGCTCTCTGGATCAGCGTTTAGCATCAGAATCGACCGTGGACTCGCAGATGATTCTCCCTGGAGTCTTGGCAACCGACACACCAACGCACAGTACCCAGCAGCTTTAATTTAAATACCCCCTGGCAGGGGTTGGAGAAATGTTGGTGGACGAAGGCTCTCGCTCTTGGGGGCGGAGAGCTGAGTACATTTACAATCTTCAGAGCAGAGGGATACATGCCATGGTGCTGCACACAGGTTCCAGGACTCGGAGAGCACGCTTGGGTCCTCACACCGAGGCGAATTCACCAAAGAAGAGGTCGGCCTCTGACCAGCATGCGCGATGATTGATTTCGAACATTCTTGCAAAGCTCCGAGCTCCCCTACTTGGTATTTTCCAGGGATGCAGCTTGCGCGTGTCAAATTGGATGTTTGATGCCGACTGGAGGACGTGCGGGACTCAAGCTCATGAAGAACTATCCTCGAGATTTCTTGCTGAACGCACTGCGTGCTCCGAGCTTATGCGTGAAAGTGCAGACCTACTAACGATTGGCGGCATTTCGTCCTGTCACCATGCCGCCTCTAGCCAATATTCTCATGCGCTCACACTCGCTTACACAGTGACCTAGGCACCTCGCACCGGGGCCCGGAACACGACCACACTACTGCGACCTAGCAATCAAATGGCATATGCAAACGTAGATGCCTACTGGAGTCAGCAACACTGCGAAACGAGCGACAACATCAAGCAATGCCACCTGTCAAGCTGTCAATTCTCCACAGAATGGCATGTTTTCCTTTCCTTGACTTAACACAATAAACCTTGTAATTTTGTCGAATATCGAAGCAGGGCGCCACCAGTAGCGGAGATATCGCACAACGGAAATATGCCCTGCCTCTTGTTTGGTTAAACAAATACAATAAAAAGTCTGTAATTAGCGAATGCGTCAAGAGTAGTACCAAAAACACAGCCTTAAATTTCTTACCATTCAGACCAGAAAGAAAAGGCAAATCGATTACTTCGCGCACGGATTCAAACATAAATATGCGCACAAAACATGCTACAGTTTTGCCTGACAGGAATCAGCACCTGCAGCCTTGATATTGTTCTTCGTCAGATGCAGCCCAGTTCCCATCAACACGTGATGTGCTGCTCAGGGAGTCTACAAGAAACCGTTTGCGGTATTTGGACTTTGGCGCATGCTTTCTGCTATTGTGAATTGCCAACGATGCTTATTCTTGTTTCTGACACTGCTTTGGACCTAGAGCCGCTCGCGACAGCATCAGACCTGCTGGTCGTGGAGCGCAGAGACAACCCACACCAGCAATTTGCCCCTGCGTTCGGGGCTGGCACACGCGCAAGCATCTCGTTGTCAAACTCCGAAGCGTCCTTCCATCTGAAGTCATATCTCCACTCTAGATCACCAGCCGAAGCGGTCGTGGCTAGCTGTCGTAGCACCACTGCACAAGGTCCGAGTGTAGAAGTAACACGCGACCAACGCACGGTGCGCCTTGTAGTTTCTACTGCCTCAACGTCGGTCATTGAACTGAATGACGTAGTCCACTTCAATGCTCAAAACGACTCCCTAATTGCAGACCTGACCCTATGCATCATTCCGCTTCGGAGAATAGCCTGCTATGCAGAGAGCTGATCCATGCTATTTCAGGGCGCTGGTGCTTATTTTTGCACCGGCGGAAACTTCGCACAGATGGCGCAGGGAGTCTTCTAGCTATAGAAAGAAACTTTCATCTCTTCGCTCTGGAGAACCTCGCGCGTCACCTGAGACATTCGTCGACTCTGTGTGCCGAAATTCGGAGCAGTTCACGGCAAGCTTATTGGAGGGGGTGTTGCGTTCGCGCTTGCAACAGATTGGCGCGTCTGTACCACTGGGACAACATTCAACTATGGCAACCTGCCGCGGGGAGTGAATCCCATTTTCATGTTCAGCTGAGCGCTGCCATTGATGGTTGGGTAAACTACTGGTTTTCAAATCTATGTGGAGGATATAGTTCTCTCCAGTAATCAGGCAGATGCATATGGCATTGTAGACTAGATCACAGTCAGCAAGGCCGAAGCGTAGCACTCGACAGCTGGTCCGGCCTTGTTCAGCACCCACTCAATTTTTTGACCCACCTCAGTACCTTCAGAGTGCGTGCTTGATGCCGCGCAAGCGGCGCTAGAGGTCGTGTGCTTTGCTGAGTCTTTCATGGATCGAATGGTCTCCTCTGAGAAACCTCCAGAGGTAATGAGGAAGGGAGGCGTGATCTAGCGACCATCTCCAACCTAAGCTGTACAGCTAGAATTCGACGATTCCGATGTATCACCAAAAGTAAATCTATGCGTCGCGGAGGTGCTCGGCACTCAAGTAGCTGGAGACGCGCCGTTGATGGCGGCGGGAATTGACTCTCTGGGTGCCACGGAGCTGTAGCGAGCACTGAGCGACGAGTTCAGCGCCGAGCTCCCAGCCACCTTGCTTTTCGACCATCCATCAATCGAGGGAATCGCATCTTTGGTGAGCCAAGAGCTTCAAGTGGCATCGCCAAACATGGGTCAAATTGCCTGTTGCCAAGTGGACACGCACCAAGTGCAAGCAACGGTTCCCACTTGCGTCGCAGAGGTGCTCGGCACTCAAGTAGCTGGAGACGCGCCGTTGATGGCGGCGGGAATTGACTCTCTGGGTGCCACGGAGCTGTAGCGAGCACTGAGCGACGAGTTCAGCGCCGAGCTCCCGGCCACCTTGCTTTTCGACCATCCATCAATCGAGGGAATCGCATCTTTGGTGAGCCAAGAGCTTCAAGTGGCATCGCCAAACATGGGTCAAATTGCCTGTGGACACGCACCAAGTGCAAGCAACGGTTGCCACTTGCGTCGCAGAGGTGCTTGGCACTCGAGTAGCTGGAGACGCGGCGTTGATGGCCGCGGGAATTGACTCTCTGGGTGCCACGGAGCTGTAGCGAGCCTTGAGTGGTGAGTTCAGCGCCGAGCTCCCAGCCACCTTGCTTTTCGACTATCCTTCGATTGAGGGTATTACTTCAGTTATTACCGAGGAGAGGCTTCTGTTGGTTTCAATATAACACACTGAGGTGTACTCTGGGGCTTAAAGGACAAGACTGAGCCTCAAGTAAGATGCCTCGCCGCCCCTACTGATATCAGAAGCATCAGATGGGACGGCAACCTTGACCTACAATCGGCCCAATACTCAAAATGCCTGGGACGGTGAAATGATCGATGCCTTATCGCGTTCTCTCGAACTCTTGAGCAATAGTACGAGCACACAACAAGTGGTGGTTACTGGAACTGGTCGCTATTTTTGTTCGGGAGCCGCTTTCACTGAGATCGTCGCAGTGTAATCCACCGACTCAGACCATTCGAATCCGCTCTCGGTATTCCTTAGTTTTCCAAAGCCAATTGTTGCAGCTGTAAACGGACCTGCATTTGGTGCGGGCGTAACACAAGCTACTCTTTGCGATGCCATCGTTTCTTCAGACGAAGCCACATTTTCCCTGCCCTTTAACTGATGGAAGGTATCGCCAGAAGGATGCTCATCAATCCACCTTGTTCGCATTGTTGGGGCTCGTGTGGCGTCCCAAATGATTGTAGACATGTGGATCCCTTCTTCTCTAGACCTACTTGCACTTGGACTGGTCACGTGATCTGCGCGCACTAAAACGCTCGTAGAAACTGCATGTCAGCTTCAAATTGCAAGATGAGCGCTCCCGGCCATTGGAAGTGCCTCGGAGGCAACCCACGAATACTCCGAAGCGGACGAGATGGAAAGTGCTGCTCTGAGTGATGCGTTTTCCTCTGCACCTTTCTTCCTCGGATAAATTGAGTTTGCTATGCGCTTGTGATAGCCGATAGTTGAGACCACTTTTCGCATCATGTTGTTGAATTCAACCTTGTCTACTATAGTTTAGTTGATTCGCGATGAAGATGATAGCAGCGATGGAAAGTCGCGTGCGATTGTGGGTGCGATCGGCGGTATGCAGTAGCGGCGGCCAGAAGAGACTAAACCTCCACTCGCAGAACACCGGGCCAGGCCTCCATTTTCGCGAGAGGCCGGACAAGGACTCTGATTCTAATTCCATCTGCCGGGCGCAGCTTTGAGCTCGGCCGATTTGAGATGCCTCGTATCCAATTCTCTGGTAACTTCTACCTGTATTCCGTTGCATCGGTGGGACAGTGCGTCGGAGCCACCTGCGGCAGCGTATGGGTCTTTTCTGTAGATGCCACTTGTAATAGACGATGGGCGCAGTTTCGGAATAAATCGACTCGAGGCTGGCAGAACTGATCCGCAATATTTCTTGCTGCTTCAATTGGCGGGCCAAATAATTGAACCTCAATGCTCTTCTCACAGAGGGTTCGGAGTTTACGTGGGAATGCTTTCTTCCCCGATTGAGGTTGTTTCTACTTCCGTTCAAACGGGCCATTAATCGCAGGTCAGCTCTGCGGCTGGTCGAATCTCCTTCACGTTTGGGCTCACGGGCGCAGCTGTGACAATCGACACTGCCTGCTCTTCGTAGCTCGTAGCAACTCATATTGGTCTGATGGGGATGGAGTGAAACGATTGCACGCAGGCCTTATCTCTGGGTGTCGGTTTACTCGGGCCAATTTGGAATGGTGGATTTGCAGCGAAGGGCATGACTTCGACTCGCGGTCGCTGCCACACCTTTGATTCTCGCGCCGACGGATACGCTCGCGGAGAAGGCTGCTCACTGCTACTCTTGCATACTGAGGCCGACACGGTGTCTTGTCTTCTTTCCGCGGCAGTCTAAAACGACGGGCCAAGCGCCAGCATGACAGCCCCTAATGGATCCGCGTAGTGACGCCTGATTGATGCGGTACGGAAATCTGTTGATTGTGCACGTGAGTTTCGCGGGGTTGCCTTTGAGGCCCATGGGACGGGAACTGCGCTTGGAGATCCCGTCGAGGTTGGAGCAGTCATTGGTGCGCTTTGTACGTTCGGAGCAGAAATTGTGTGCACGTCGCTCAAGGCAAACGTGGGGCATCTCGAGGCTGTCGCGGGTGGAGCGGGAGCGGTCGCATAATTATCTTTTGCTCTGTCAATAGGAAGTGTTGCTGCGAACTCTCAGCTGCAAAAGCTGAATCCGCATCTAGGGACGATGGTCTGAGCTGTGCCCTACTCGATTCCGGTTCGGGATTTTGTACCACTAGGGGAAGGCGTGCTCCAAGGCCGACTCAGTTCTTTCGGAGCGACTGGCACGATCGCGCACGGGGCATTTGCGGCTATGGTCTAGTCACACTGGTCCAAGTACACTGCCAAATTGCCTTCCCTCTATCGTGCTCAGCTGCCAGCCGCCTCTGGCGCGCGGCGAGCAAGTCGATGGACGACGCAACAAGACTCTGGAATCGCCGAAAGCGCGACGACGGCACCCCGCACCGGAGATCGCGATGTCAACACGTGCGCATATACAGTCCTCTTGTCGCTGGCACTCGGTAGAACTCATGCATCTCTTGGTGACGTTCGCTTCAATCACTGATTTATGTCACAGACTCACAACAGCGTGCTTGGTTGTCACTTTGACTCTACGGCGCATACTTGGGCTGTTGTGACGCAGTAGTGACAGCCTCGAGTGCTTGCGTGCGGTGTGGTGCTGCAGGATCGGTCATCCGCTGAGGTTTCCGAGATTGTCCCCCAACCAGCAGCTCCGCAGACTTGGACCATTTGCAGCGAAGCGCTCGGCACGCTGCAGTTTGATAATGTTTGCAGGGCTATGCTACAGCTTCCTCCCTCTGGCGAGTCGTAGGCGTAGTCTGCTGAACAGCTCTTATTATGATTGGCGATGGCCCTCGATAAGTGTGAGGTCGACAGCCAGTAAGAAATACTCGCGATCGACATGTATTCGCATCAGAGCGCTGATACGCAGATAAAGCACCTGTATTGCGCGACGGTTTCAGATCGCGCCGCGCGTTTCCTGGTTGTGGATGCGGCGTCCTGGGACAATGCCGTTGTAGCGAGCGGGATTCACGCGCAATGACGCTGCGCTTCCTTGGCTCTATCGAGGGTTGCAGACATTACTTTCGACGTGAAGACCTTTGGTGTTGCCTCTTTATCCTACTACGCTCCGAATCTAGCCCTGGGCGCCTCGTGCGCGGAAGCATTCCACGTCAGTCCCGGTAGATACACGATGGGGCGCGGGCAGGAGAACATCACTTTCGTTAGCGCTGATGAAGACACTGTCTCGCTGGCATTGTCAAGTTTGGGTAGACTGCTTTGATAGTGTGAGCTGGCCTTTATGGAACTCGGGCGCCTCGAGGTTGGCACGGAAAGCGCTGTAGACCGCGGCAAGTCAACGAAGTCGTTCTTGATGTCACTGTTCGAAGCTGACGACCACCACAGTGTTGAAGGGCTCGACACTTTCAATGCGTGTTATGGTGGAACAAATGCCCTGTTCAGTACCACGAACTGGCACCAGAGCAAAGCATGGAATGGCACGTACGGTGTCGTGGTCTGTTCCGACCCCGCGGTCCATCCGGATCCCGCGACCATCTCTGCCATTGGAGCCTCCTCAATATCCCTGGTGACTGCGTCGCAAGCATCATTGCTGCTCCAACAAACGCGCACGACCTTCATCAAGCACTCCTGGGACTTCTATCGGCCCGTCGGATGGCCCACAAACGACGCGGTAGTGGACGTCAACATCGCGACAGGTCAATACGAAGAGGCCATGATGTGGTGCTAGGGCTGATTTAGTGAAACAGTGGGTCGACGGGATCTGTTGAGAACATTCAATCTAGTCGCGTACCACAACAACGCTCCTTATCATTCAAAGAGGAACCTGTGACTCATGTGTGAAGTAATGTATGGTAAACTCACCAAGGCTCAACACGAAGAGTTGTTCCAAAAGCATGTCGAGGCTGGCATTGCCATAAGTGCCCAAAATGCTACCACCTACACTTGCCCGGTCTACGCGAGTCTGCTGTCGTTCGCTCTCACGATTGGCTCTGGCCTGGCCAATCAACGTATCCTATGCATGGCGTATGGATCTGGTTGCGCCGCTAGCATGTTCGGACTGGACGCTACTGCTGCGACCGTGTACGCTTCAGATGTGCTCGCCGGCCTGCGTGATCGGTAGCAAACACCAATTGAGGACGCCCTACTACTTATCAGCGCTTTTGAGATGACACATGGACGATTCGGATACGAGCCGTCACATCACAAGAGCTGATAGGATGCAGCCTTTTATCTCAAGGGAGTCAGTGCAATCGGGGTCCGTGCCTACGAAGCTCATTCTGCAGTTACGTTGATCAAGGTAGACGCGCTGGAATCTTCTTGTGTTGTCCGCGTCGAGCTAGGCTAGGACTCGGTGACTGACTCGTTGCTTGAGGAGCTCATCCCAGTCCTAGATCCCGGACGAATCGTAGTTTTCGCGTCTGCCACTGCAGCTCAGAGTGGTATCAAAAGTGCCATAGCGGAGAGACTCCTCCTCAATCACTTCTCGTCACAAACCAGTCATCTTCCAATCGTCTTTTCGACTCGCGGGCAAACAACGGGGGGGAGAATGCTGATTATTGCAGTTGCGGACGTCGCGAGTGCAACATCTCAGTCCACGTTTGGACTATTTGTCGCGCTTCATCAACCCCTGGGCATTGCCCCCGTGGCGCTCCGCAGGCGGGTCAGATCCCAACTCATTCGGCGATGGGTGCTGCTTCAAGAGGAACTTGAGGCGAGCACAGCACTGAGGAGCGGGTTGGTCGAGGTCATTACCTCGAGAGGTGAAGATCATTAGTTTCTTTGCTCTCTGGTTCAACGTTTAGCATCAGGATCGACCGTGGGCTCGCAGATGTAGATGATTCTCCCTGGAGTCTTGGTGACAGATACAGCAACGCACGTTACCCGACAGCTTCAATCTAGATACCCCTTGGCAGGAATTGGAGAAATATTGGTGGACAAAGGCTCTTGCTCTTGGAGGCAGACAGCTGAGTACATTTACAATTTTCAAAAAGAAGGGATACATGCCATGATTCTGCATACTGATACCAGGACGCAGAGAGCACGCTTGGGTCCTCACACTGAGGCGATTTTACCGAAGAAGAGGTAGGCTTGTGACCAGCACGCGCGATGATTGATTTCGAACATTTTTACAAAGCTCCGAGCTCCCCTACTTGGTATTTTGCAGAGATACAGCTCGCATGTGTTCAATTGGATGCTCGATACTGACTGGAGGACGTGCGGGACTCAAGCTCATGGGGAACTATCGTCGAAATGTTCACCCACTGCGTGCACTCCACAGGTCTCCGGGGAAAGTGCAGATCTACTCGACAGGGGCGTCGTGTCTGCGTTTCACGATCTTTCTTCTAGTCCATATTCGCATGCGCTCACTCTCGCTCACACGGTGACCTTGGCGCCCCGTGCTGGGGCCTGCAACTCGACTACGCTGCTACGAATGAGCTCAGAACTGGCGATTTGCGATGGCACTGCAAACCAAAACAGTAATTAGAAGCCTTTGTATGATCAACGTCCTATCCTTAATTGTGCTGAAACTCGATCCATCTGCAGGGTCCCATTTTGGGGTAAGCGAGCGACTTGGTTATACACAACGGCAGCCTTCGGTTGGCTCTTTACTGGGCAATTCACCTCAGTCCTAATGACACGCCTGCGATCCAAAGAGACCTCTCTCACTAGCACAGTCCAGGAGTCCGTTACGTTTACTATGGGATGCGATCGTGGGGAAGATCGTCGATAAAGGCAGAAAACTCCTGGAATTCCGGTGCAGGTCGAAATGTGGATGCTTGCACTTAATACCCTCTTTCGCATTTGTAAATTCAACATTCGAGCCATCGATGCAATTCTTTGCTCCATGCAGCCTGGGCTCTGACAACATTCGCTTCGCCGCAGTGATTCTGCAGGCAGCAGTGAGACGGGTGCACTATATGATCTTGCTCTCGCTCTGTGCTGTTGCGAGTTGCCGACGATACTTGAACTCGCTGATAACACGCCACGTTTTGACTCGGAACCCCTGCTTGGCGCCTGCGACATTCTGCTCCTGTCGAACGCCTCAAGAACGCGCGCTAGCACAGATCACCTTACATTAAGTGTGATTTCTGATGCGGTTCACTCCAAAGACCGCAAGCTGCTTCTCAATATCGCTTCGCACGCAGAAGCGGTCTTGGCCACGGCCAAGCGAGACGCAGAACCTGGAAAAATGCCCCCGGGGGCGCGGTTGTGACTGGTCCGTCTGACAATCTCTGGCGCGGCTATCATGGAACTTAACGACCCTGGCAGCTTCAATGCGCAACGGCGGAACTTGTTAGACGATCTGGTGTTGCTAATGGAGACAATAGAACTTCTAGCTCGTTGCAAGCATGTCAATGCCAATCAATTCCAGGGTGTCGGTGCCCATTTCTGCACCGGAGGACGGCACGAGGAACACGAGCAAGGTACGCTGGCGACAATGCAAGTTCACAGCGGTATCGCAAGGGAAATTTGAATGCTCGTGGTACCTACATTTGCCTCAATTCACGGCAAGCTGCTTGGAGGCGGTGTTGCGTTTGCTCTCGCGGCAGATTGGCGTGCCTGTAGTGTGAAAACAACGCTCAATTTTGGCAATTTGCCGCGCGGTATGAATCCTCTTTTCATGCTCAGCCGCGCGTTGTAAATCATAGTAGGACGCCCCAAAGCTTTTCAGATCTATTTAGAAGATGGGGTAATCTCAAGCGAGTAAGCGAAGACGTTTGGGTTGGTAGATCAAGTGACACCCGGTCGTGCTGAGTCAAAGCTTCTAGCGGCAAGATAAGCGCTGAGCTAGGCATACAGCATAGCCTGATAGAATTGCGTGGCGAGGGAGTGCGTGCGAGACGTTGCCCACGGCGCCTTGGAGGCTGTACTTTTTGCTGACTCGACAAAGAGCCCGGAGCCATCACTACGTGGCTCATCCAAGACTCGAATAGTATCGTAGCTCCCGAATTCGCATCCTCTTCCAATTTCTCTACTTGCATTGAGGAAGGCCATATTTGATGCGCTGCCACAGGTCACCGCCTGTGTTGCAGAGGTGCTTGGGACTGAGGTCGCCGGCGATGCCCCGTTGATGGCAGCGGGTATCGACTCTCTGGGTGCCACGGAGCTCCAGCGAGCACTGAGTGACGAGTTCAGCGCCGAGCTGCCAGCCACGCTCCTCTTCGACCACCCCTCAATCGAGGGGATTGCATCTTCAGTGAGCCAAACATTTCAAGCATCATCGCCGCACGTGGGTGAAACCGCGTGTTGCCAAGTGGACACGCACCAAGTGCAAGCAACCGTGGTCTCTTGCGTCGCAGAGGTGCTTGGGACTGAGGTCGCCGGCGATGCCCCGTTAATGGCAGCGGGTATCGACTCTCTGGGTGCCACGGAGCTCCAGCGAGCACTGGGTGACGAGTTCAGCGCCGAGCTGCCAGCCACGCTCCTCTTCGACCACCCCTCAATCGAGGGGATTGCATCTTCAGTGAGCCAAACATTTCGAGTATCATCGGTCGAAGCTGAGTTGGTCACTTAATCCCCAGAGTAGGCAAAGTATGCAACCCCAAGAACAGCCCTTCAGGAGTCGTCAGGTTCACTAGTCCAAGAAACTCTCCTAACATCAAGAGGCGGCTTGCTAGATGTTGTCATTTCCCGAACCTGCAGTGTCCACATCAGTGCGTTGTCTTTTCAACTGAGTGGTGGCGTCCAAAGCTTGGTCTCAATGCACCAGCTTTTGTTCCGAGCCCTGGCGACACCTTCAGATATCCCCCATCTGCGATGGGCCGCCGCCTCTTGAGACACTGCAGCTACTTATGGATCCTTCCTTCTCGGTGATCTCACCTTGGAGTATCAGACATTTGGGATTCCCCCCCATCAAGCACGAAACATGGACCGTCATTTTATCATGCTCCTCGAAGGGGCAGATTCTACGCTGAAATCCTGCAAGAAAACATCGAGTGGTCGTATACAAGATATCGGTGTTTTCGTAGGAATTCTCGGCTAACCTGTTGAACGAGCGGCTGCTGGTGATCCCGCCGTCGCAGGAGCGCCGTAAATATCTGTCGCCAGTGGCCAAACGTCATTTATTCTCGGGCTCACGGGCCCTTGTCTTTCCCTTGATACCGCGTGCTCTTCGCAACTTGTTGCTATTCACCTTGCATCTGCCGCCTTGATACTGCGCGAGTGCCCGGATGCGATTGCTTCTGGCGTTGGGTTGCTCGGGCCCATTTTCACGGGCGCCTTTGCTGCTCAGGGCATGCTGTCTGGGCGGGGTTGATGTCACACCTTTGATGTTAGAGGAGACGGGTATTGTCGCGGGGAGGGCTCCGTGTCCATCTTGTTGTCTGTGGGTGAAGTCGCTCGATTCGAGGTCGGAGCGACACGGGTGCAAAACGACGGACCGAGCGCAAGTCTTACCGCTCCTAACGGATCTGCGCAGCGGCGGCTTATTATCGAAGTTCAAGACTCGCTTGTCACTCANAACAAGCGCAGTCCCAGTGCCCTCGAGGCGCATGGCACGGGAACCGCGCTTGGGGATCCCGTTGAGGTTGGCGCAGTCACAGGCGCGCTCTGTTAGGCGGGAATCGAGGTTTCTTGCACCTCGCTCAAAGCCAACATGGGACATCTGGAGGCCGCCGCGGGCGGGGCTGGGGCGGCAGCCTTGCTTTGTTTGTCGTTGTCATTNTGAGGTGTCGCTGCCAACGCCCAGACACGGAATCTGAATCCACACCTCGTCAACGTTGTCTAAAATGCGCCCTTCCGCATCCCGCTCTGTGATTCAGCACCACTGTCGTAAGCACCCGTGGGTCGACTCAGCTCATTCGGGGCGACGGGGACCATTGCTCACGGGGCTTTTATTTTTAAGACTTCACAACGAAGCGGTGGTGCTTCGGCGACTCTGGTGAGGCCATCATTCTATCGTGCTCAATGACCAGCCGTCTCTGGCAAGCGGCGAGCAAGTCAGTGGAGTGCACAACAGGACTCTGGGATTTCCCCAAGCGCGGGTGCGAAGTGCATGCAAGGCTGACTGCTATCCACGACGCAAGCCTATCTCGCGGATCATGTAGCTGGAAGAAGTATCCTACTTCCAGGTGTTGGCTACGTCGACCTTGCCTTGCGGTCTCTCAGCCTGCCCAATTTACTTGCTGGTGTCCAATTTGTACGGCCATGCATACTACCAGAGCCTGGCCTGGGTTGATGCATCTTGAGATGTACGAGCCAAATTTCTGGAGCGTTTGCGATTGATAGCGCAATGACAGAAGACAACTTGGCATTTTTCAATCACTGTGTGGGAAATTATCCCGAGGGAAATGACGATCATAGTGCAAGAAAAACCGGCCATCTTGCGCAAGCACTTCACGATCGCCAATTTACCAACACCTCGCAGCAAGTGAGTGAAAGCTTCTGAGAATCACGATGACCTACCAGATCCGAAAAGTGGCGCTCTCCATTGACCTCAGACGTCTACAGAACTTCTAATGCGATAGCACGGTGACCTTTGAAGTCAAGGTCACTACCAAGCGCGGGTCGACTCGGCACGTGCGCTTTCATGCCACGGGGACTTGTACGTCATGAATCACAAACCTCGCAACCGAGATAGTGATGATTTGGGCACGAGATGCTTGTGAAAAGCCAATCCTACAAACCTAGCAATCTGAGCGCCACCTATCCGCAAAATAAGCTTGTCCATGATTTGAATGGGCGCCAGATTACAGGTGCACCTCTACCAATCAAATTTGTTTCAGGGAGGAGCTGCACCAGGCTCTCAGTTTTTCGCGTGCAGGAGCTTTAACATAGGACCATTGCGTCTGATCAAATCCTTTCAACGTCAAAATTGTGTGCGGACAAACGGCTGCAAGATAGGATGAATGTCGGGCTCGTAAAGTTATCAAACGCAAACAATTCAGATATCAATACGTTTTAATAATACTATTTTTAAGCATCGGCTTCATCCCAAGCGCTCGTTCAAATCAAAGCAGCTGCCTCGACAAGGTCGGATAGAAGGATACAATTCCAAAAGAAATTATTCAACCCAAACTGGCGCATATCTTCGTTTCTGAGTTTTGGGACCCTGATCAAGAGCAACTACGGACGGCTCATCTCGCAGGAGAGTCGCCGACTTGCGTTGGCCACAGCTTCTCTGGCTAGCCCCAGCCATACGCTTGTCAGGGCGCAACCTGTCCGTCCCTCAGCACAACAAGGAATCGCGCAGGCGCAAAGCCTCGCCCCGTCCCATGTTCTGCATAATGATCTGGTTGGCATCGCAACCCAGCTTTCCGGCACGGCTATCTCGCTCGACGCGCCTCTAATGTCGGCTGGGCTCGACTCCATCGGAGCCACGGAGCTCTCAACGCGACTCAGCGAACGCCTCGAAACGGAGCTACCGTCGACGCTGCTGTTCGACCACCCATCGCTACGTTCCATCGCCGGTTCCGTACCGACCGAGAGCGGAGATTCGAGCGCACCAGAAACTGCATGAAGCGTGATATGTCGAAAGGCTGTGTCCAAAACGCAAACCATCTCCCAAAGCACTTCATCTGTGGCTACAACCATCTCTGCGTCGCTCATCGATGTGCTCGGCACAGCCATTGCCGCGAACTCGCCACTGATGGCTGCTGGACTGGACTCGGTCGCAGCGGCGGAGTTTGCGAATACTCTAACGGAATGATTCACGATTGAATTGCCGTAGACGCTCCTGTTCGACCACCCGACGATTGAATCAGTGGCCGGGCTCATCTTAGACACAGCCGACGGAGAGGGAGTGTATCTTGTCAGTGACACCCCCCAGATAATGATGTGGCATCAGGCTGAAGCAGCACCCCCAGCAGCACCGAGTGTCGCAGTGTCTCTCTCAGGCTCATTTTCATTCCTTTTGTCAGGCTTTACTTCGACGAAGATTCGACTAGAGCACCTCGTAACCCTTGGTTTAGCGGCCAACTCTGGTGTGCCCGTCACGCGATGGTAGAGCAACGCCTCTTATGTGTCAGCGGCGTATGGGTCTTTCACCGTTTTTTTGTCAGATGCAGCTGCTTTTGGAATCGCGAGGATGGAATCGCAAGGCATGAATCCTCAAATGATGGTGGTTCTCGAAACAACGACTGCCACGCTTTGTGCGTTGAGCTGCCGCGCAACGCTTGTAAATAAACCGGTTGGCTTTTTCCTCGGCGTTGGCGGCGCTTTCTCAAGCGAGAGTGCTGGCAAGGGCGTTGCTAGTACACAAACACCTTCGGTGTACTCGGGCACCTCGGGAGCCCTCTCGGTGGCGTCTGGTCGGGTGTCTTTCACTCTTGGGCTCACAGGCCCCTGCCTGACTCTTGACACGGCGTGCTCGTCATCCCTCGTTGCAGCTCATCTCGCAGCGTCGGCGATCGAGCTGATCAAATGTCCCAAAGCGGCGGCGACGGGTGTCGGTATGCTGGTGCAGACGGTGTCGATGGCTTTCTCGGCGGCAGGCATGCTCTCCGCTCTCGGACGCTGCCACACGTTCGATCGCCGCGGAGACGGGTACTGCCGCGGCGAAGGTTGCGGGGCTTTTTTACTGGACTCTGGAGTCTCTGCCAAAGTTGCTGTCCTTGGCACGGCGGTGCAGCAAGACGGCCCGAGCGCGAGCCTGACCGCGCCCAACGGGTCATCGCAGAGGTGATTGGTCTCGACGGTGCGAGACGGTGACGTCGCTAACCGGGCTTTAGAAGCGCACGGCACGGGCACGGCGCTCGGGGACCCGATCGAAGTAGTCTCTTTCCAGGTGTCAAATTCGTGTTTTTATCATTCGTCTTAGGTCGGGGCGGCTATGGGAGCCTTGTGTGTGAACTCGCAGTCGGTACGGTGCGCATCTTTGAAGTCGAACATGGGCCACTTGGAGCCATCGGCGGCTGCCGCTGGGTTGGCCTCTCTCGTGCTTGTGCCCCTCAGTATATGCTTGATCGCTACGAATGCGCAGCTCAGACTGTTGGTCCAATTTCAGCGCAATACCTGCAGAATTTCGAGCGAACAAGGTTGAACACGCACCTGTCCTCGATTGTGTCGTTGTAATTCCAGATGCCCTTGGAAACTGTGGTTGAAGGTGAAACTCAGCAATCACCCGCGGGCCGGCTGAGCTCGTTTGGGTTCAGCGGGACCATCGCGCACGGGGCTTTTGTGGCTGTGGTGTGACAAGGCTTGGCCCTGGCCACAGCCAAATTGCCTTCCCTCTATCGTGCTCAGTGACCAATCGTCTCTGATGAGCGGCGAGCAAGTCGATGGACGACGCAACAAGACTCGGAAATCGCCCAAAGCGCGACAACAGCACCCCGCGCCGGAGATCGCGACGTCAACACGTGCGCCTATACAGTCCTTTTGTCGCTAGCAGGCGGTGGACTGCGTTCATCTCTTGGTGACGTTCGCTTCAATCACTGAATCATGTCGCAGACTAACAACAGCCTGCTTGGTTGTTGCATTGACTCTACGGCGCTTACTTGGGCTGTTGTGACGCAGTCGTGACAGCCTCGAGCGCTTGCGTGCGGTGTGGTACTGCAGGATGGTTCGCAGGCTGAGATTTCCAAGATTGTTCACCAACCAGCATCCCCGCAGACTTGGACCATTTGCAGCGACGCGCTTGGCACACTGCAGTTTGATAATTTTGGTAAGGCTATGCTACGATTTCCAGCCTCTTGAGACTCGCAAGCGCAGTCTGCTGGATTTTTCCTATTGTCGTTGGCAACTGCTCTCAATGAGGGTGAGGTCGACAGCCCGTAAGTAATACTCGCAATCGACATGTATTCGCATCGGAGCGCTGATACGCAGACAAAGCACCTGTATCGCGCGATGGTCTCAGATCGCGCCGCGCGTTTCCTCGTGGCCGACGCTGCATCCTGGGATAACACGTCGGTGGCGAGAGGGATCCATGTGCAGTGACACGGCGCTTCCTTGGCTCCACTGAGCACTGCAGACATAACTTTCGATCTCGAGGCTGTCGGAATTGCCGCTCTGTCTTACTACGCTCCGAATCTAGCCCTGAACGCTTCCAGTGCGGAAGCATTCCACGTCAGTCCCGGCAGATACACGATGGGGCGCGGGCAGGAGAACATCACTTTCGTTGGCGATGATGAAGACACTGTCTCGCTAGCGTTGTCGAGTCTAAGTAGACTGCTTTGATAGTGTGAGCTGGCCTTTATGGAACTCGGGCGCCTCGAGGTTGGCACAGAAAGCGCTGTAGACCGCGGCAAGTCAATCAAGTCGTTCTTGATGTCATTATTCGAAGCCGATGACCACCACAGTGTTGAAGGGCTCGACACTTTCAATGCATGTTATGGCGGAACAAATGCATTATTCGGTACCACAAATTGGCTCCAGAGCACAGCATGGAATGGCACGTACGGTGTTGTGGTCTGTTCCGACCCGGCGGTCCACCCAGATCCTGCTCACATCTCTGGTATTGGGGCGTCGTCAATATCCCTGGTGGTAGCCTCGCAAGCATCATTGCTACTTCAGCGAGAGCGCACGACCTTCATCAAGCACTCCTGGGACTTCTATCGGCCCGTCGGGTGGCCCACAAACGACGCGGTAATGGACGTGAACATCGCGACTGGTCAATACGAAGAGGCCATGCTGTGGTGCCAGGGCTGATTTAGCGGAACAGTGGGTCGACGGGATCTACTGACAACATTCGATCTAGTAGCGTACCACAACAACGCTCCTTATCATTCAAAGAGGAACCTGTGACTCATGTGTGAAGTGATGTATGGTAAACTTTCCAAGGTTCAACACGAGAATCTGTTCTAAAAGCATGTTGCGGCTGGCATTGCCGTTAGCGCCCAGAATGCTACCACCTACACGTGCCCGGTCTATGCTAGTTTACTTTCACTCGCTCTGAAGATTGGTGACAGCCTTGCTATTCAACGCACCCTGTGCATGGCATATGGATCCGGTTGCGCCGCTAGCATGTTCGGACTGGACGCTGCTGCTGCGCCCGTGTACGCTTCAGATGTGCTTGTCGGTCTAAATAGTCGATAGCAGACATCGACAGAGGACGCCCTACTACTAGTAAATGCTTTCGAGATGACACACAGATGATTTGGATACGAGCCATCGCATCGCGAGAGCTGATAGGATGCAGCCTTTTATCTCAAGAGCGTTAGTGCAATGGGGGTCCGTGCCTACGAAGCCCATTCGACGGTTACGTTGATCAAGGTAGACTCGCTGGATTCTTCTCGTGTTGTCCGCGTCGAACTGGCCTAGGACTCAGTGACTGACTCCTTGGTCGAGGAGCTCACCCCAGTTCTAGATGATCCAGGACGAATCATGGTTTTCGCGTTTGCCACTGCTGCTGATAGTGGTGTCGAAAGCGCCGTGGCAGCGAGAACCCTTCTCAATCACTTCTCGTCACGAACCAGTCATCTTCCCATCGTCTTCTTGAGTCACGGGCATACGACGGGGGGGGGAATGCTGATTGTTGCAGTTGCAGATCTCGCGATTGCAACGTCTCAGGCTATGTTTGGACTGTCTCTTATGCCTCATCAACCCCTGGGCATTGCCCCCGTGGCGCTCCGCAGGCGGGTCAGATCCCACCTCATTCGACGATGGGTGCTGCTTCAAGAGAAACTTGATGCAAGCACAGCGCAGAGGAGCGGGTTGATCGAGGTCATTACCTCGAGAGGTGAAGAACATGAGTTTCTTTGCTCTCTCGATCAGTATTTGGCGTTAGAATCGACCGTGGGCCCGCAGATGTAGATGACTCTCCCTGGAGCCTTGACTGCCGATACGTAAAGTACCCAGCAGGTTCAATTTAGATACCCCTTGGCAGGGGTCGGAGAATTATTGTTGGATGAAGGCCCGTGCTCTTTTAGGCAGAACGAGTACGTTTGCAATCTTCAGAGAGGAGGGATACATGCCATGGTGCTGCAGACTGGTTCCGGGACCCAGAGAGCACGCTTGGGTCCTCACACTGAGCCGATTTCGCCGAAGAAGAGGTCGGCCTCTGACCAGCACACGCGATGATTGATTTCGAACATTCTCACAAAGCTCCAAGCTCCCCTACTTGGTATTTTGCACAGATACAGCTTGCACCTGTCCAATTGGATGCTTGATGCTGACTGGAGGACGTGTGGGGCTCAAGCTCATGGAGAAATGTCGTCGGAATGTTTACCCACTGCGCGCACTCCGCAGCTCCCATGGGAAAGTGCGGATCTGCTCAACAGGGGCGTCGTTTCTGCGTTTCACGATGTTTCTTCTAGTCCATATTCTCATGCGCTCACTCTCGCTTACACCGTGACCGTCGCGCCTCGTGTTGGGGCCCGCAACTCGACTACGCTACTGCGACCTAGCAATCAAATGGCATATGCAAACGTAGATACCTACTGGAGTGAGCAACACGGTGAAACGAGCGACGACATCAAGCAGTGCCCCTCGTCAAGCTGTCAATTCTCCACAGACTGGCACACTTTCCTCGCGACATATTCATTGACTGAACACAACTAGCCTCGTAATTAACGAGGCGGAGCACCATCAGTAGCGGAGGTATCGTACATAAAAAATGTGTTTTCCCTTTCGCTTGCTCGATGAATTGGTCAGAATAGTACAGAGGTCACTCCATGATTGGCGAATGTGTCAAAAGTAGCACCAAAAATACAAAGCAAGGGTCCTTTGAGTCCTATTCTTTTCCACTCAGACCAGAAAGAAAAGGCAACGAATCGATAACTTTGCGTATGGATCCAAACATCGCTATGCGCACAAAACATTCTGCGGTTTCGCATGACGGGACTCGGCATCGCTAGCGTCGATACTGTTCTTCGTCAGATGCAGCCCAGCTCTCATTAACACGTGATCTGCTGCGCGCGTAGTCCACAAGAAACCGCTGATGGTATTTGGACTTTAGCGTATGCGTTCTGCTATTGTGAATTGCCAACATCGCTCGTTCTTGTATCTGACACTGCTTCGGATATCAAGCCACTTGCGACAGCGTCGGATCTGCTGATTGTGGAGCGCCGAGGCAATGCGCGCTAGCAATTTGCCCCTGCATTTGGCGCTGGCATGCGCATTAGCATCCCGTTGCCCAACGCCGAAGCGTCTGTCCTCCTAAAGTCGTATCTCCACTCCAGATCAGGAGCTGAAGCTGTCGTGGTTACCTCAACACAATTTCCGAGTGTAGAAGTAACACGCGACCAACGCACGGTGCGCCTTGTAGTTTCTACTGCCTCAATGTCGGTCATCGAACTAAATGACGTAGTCCACTTCAACGCTCAAAGCGATTCCCTAATTGCAGACCTGACCCTATGCATCATTTCGCTTCGGAGAATAGGCTGCTATGCAGAGAGCTGATCAATGTTATTTCAGGGCGCCGGTGCTTATTTTTGCACCGGCGGAAACTTCACGCAGATAACGCAGGGCAGCTCGTAGCTACAGCAAGAAGCTTTCGTATCGTTTCTCCGGGAATTTTCGCGCGTCACCTGAGACATTCGTCGACTCTCTGTGCCGAAGTTCGGTGCAGTTCATGGAAAGCTCATTGGAGGGGGTGTCGCGTTCGCGCTTGTGACAGATTGGCGCGTCTGTACCACTGGGACAACATTCAACTATGGCAACCTGCCGCGGGGAGTGAATCCCCTTTTCATGTTCAGCTGAGCGCTGCCATTGATGGTGGGGTAAACTACTGGTTTTCAAATCTATGTGGAAGATATAGTTCTCTCCAGTAATCAGGCAGATGCGTGTGGCCTTGTAGACTAGATCACAGCCAGCAAGGCTGAAGCATAGCACTCAGCGGCTGCAACGGCATCGCTCATCGCACAATAGATTTTCTGATCCACGTAAATAGCTTCGGCGTGTGTGCTCGATACCGCGCACGCGGCGCTGGAGGTCGTGTGCTTTGCTGAGTCTTTCATGGATCGCGCGATTTTCCCTGATAGACATCAAGAGGTAATGAGGAAGGGAGGCGTGATCCAGCGACCATCTCCAATCTAGGCTACACATCCCGAATATCCTGAAATCGACAATTCCGATGTTTCACTAAAAGTAAGTTTATGCGTCGCGGAGGTGCTCGGCACTAAAGTGGCTGGAGACACGCCGTTGATGGCTGCTGGTGTCGATTCCTTAGGCGCCACGGAGCTGTAACGGGCACTGAGCGACGAGTTCAGTGCCGAGCTCCCGGCCACGCTCCTCTTCGACCATCCTTCGATTGCGGGAATCGCAACTTTGGTGATCCAAGCATTTCGTGTGCCATCGCCGCACGTAGGTGAACGTGCTTGTCACTAGGTGGATGCGCACCAAGTGCAAGCAACGGTTGCCACTTGCGTCGCGGAGCTGCTCGGCACTCAAGTAGCTGGAGACGCGGCGTTGATGGCGGCGGGAATTGACTCTCTGGGTGCCACGGAGCTGTAACGGGCACTGAGCGACGAATTCAGCGCGGAGCTTCCCGCCACGCTCCTCTTCGACCATCCTTCGATTGCGGGAATCGCAACTTTGGTGATCCAAGCATTTCATGTGCCATCGCCGCACGTAGGTGAACGTGCTTGTCACTAGGTGGATGCGCACCAAGTGCAAGCAACGGTTGCCACTTGCGTCGCGGAGGTGCTCGGCACTCAAGTAGCTGGAGACGCGGCGTTGATGGCGGCGGGAATTGACTCTCTGGGTGCCACGGAGCTGTAGCGAGCCTTGAGTGGTGAGTTCAGTGCCGAGCTTCCCGCCACGCTCCTCTTCGACCATCCTTCCATTGAGGGTATTACTTCAGTTTTGGCGTATTCGAGTTCAGGTCATGTTGGAGCACTACAAATGGCCACGGTGAATCGATCATACGAGACGCCCACCGTTGATGAGAGCCAAATTGACCACGGATATGTTCGTTTAGATGAGCACTTGATGAAAGCAATTCGCGTGGGCAGCTATGGTGGGCCCATAAAGTGGATGGACGTAGAACGGCCGGTGCTTCCACATATAGCAGACGATATTGTCCAAACTATGTCAGAATATCTGAGAGAAGACAAAAATGTCGTTGTGGCGGGTATGGTCATCCTACAGGTCGCGGCCGTTGGTTTGTCCTTGGCAGACAATTTGAGCCTGCATGGCAAGTACTAGGTCAAGGCGCCCCTACCTGTCACCCCTGGGGCGGAAGCTGCTGGAGTCATATGCGCTGTTGCCGCCTAGACTTCCAACCTGCGGCTCCATGATGCCGCTGGAGTTATCCTCCCTTGGACAACAGGCACTTGCGCGGAGCAGATTCTGCTTCACGAACGTCAGTGTGTCAAACTACCCAAAAACGCTACCCAAAAAGATTTTGTTGACTTCGTAGCTCTCGGTAATAATTATCAGACCGCTTATTTTGCTCTGGTTCACCGAGCGCCTATTTGAGATTGGCACGTGCAGACCCTACTCATATTGGGAGCAGCCGGAGGTGCAGGTGTTGCCGCGCTTGACATTGCGAGGGTCCTAGGCGCTGTTATTCTTGCCTGTGCTAGTACGCAGAGTAAACGTGATCTTTGTGATTCTCGTGGTGCAAATACCGCAATAGACTACTCTCGCAGAGGCTGGTATCGAGACGTTATGGACTACACATCGCACGAGGGCGTCAGTTGCGTGTTCGATCCTGTAGGAGGTGACTACATCTATGCGTGTGTCTGATGCATCGGTGTCGGGGGCTCTTTACTAACCATAGGGTATGCATCGGGCGCTATTCCCACCATCTCGTTGGAGCATCTACTTCAGCGTAATATTGCGATCGTAGGAGTGTGGACATATGCAGTCCACTATCCTAGTGAAAACGAACAGGCGGCGGCAGAAGTTGTGAGATTGTGGTAGGCTGGTCTGCTCATTCCAGAGGTGGACACCGTATTACCCATGGACTAGTTTCACACAGGATTATCTAAGATTCTCAGTCGAGAAGCCAAAGGGAAGGTTGTGCTAATTATCACTTCTTCAGAGTGGGCAGAAAAGTCACCTCCCAGAACCGATCCTCCCGTGCCTCTAGGAACAGCGGGACGAGAAATCAATATGGCGTCAATATCTATGCAAGAAACTTGCGCGGCGCAAACGACCACACTCCACAACAGCTGACCAGAGGTTCCTAAGCCTCGCAGTGTTCGCCTTAGTGCATTCTAGATGCAACTCGCTGGTGGCATCGCGAGCTTGGTCTCAACGCGTCAGCTTTTGTTTCGAACCGAAGCGACTCCTTCACACATTCCCTCACAAAGATGGGTCGTGACTTCTCGAGACACTGCAGCTACTTATGGATCCTTCCTTCTCGGTGATCTCACCTTGGAGTATCATGTGTTTGGTATTCCCCCCCATCAAGCACGAAACATGGACTGTCATTTTATCATGCTCCTCGAAGGGGCAGATTCTATGCTGAAATCCTGCAAGAAAACATCGAGTGGTCGTGAACAGGATATCGGTGTTTTCGTAGGAATTCTTGGCTAACCTGTTGAACAAGCGGCTGCTGGTGATCCCGCCGTCGCAGGAGCGCCGTAAATATCTTTCGCCAGTGGCCAAACGTCATTTATTCTCGGGCTCACAGGCCCTTGTCTTTCCCTTGATACCGCGTGCTCTTCACAACTTGTTGCTATTCACCTTGCATCTGCCGCCTTGATACTCCGCGAGTGCCCGGATGCGATTGCTTCCGGCGTTGGGCTGCTCGGGCCTATTTTCACGGGCGCCTTTGCCGCTCTGGGCATGCTGTCTGGGCGGGGTTGATGTCACACCTTTGATGTTAGAGGAGACGGGTATTGTCGCGGGGAGGGCTCCGTGTCCATCTTGTTGTCCGTGGGTGAAGTTGCTCGATTTGAGGTCGACGCGACACGGGTGCAAAACGACGGACCGAGCGCAAGTCTGACCGCTCCTAACGGATCTGCGCAGCGGCGGCTTATTGTCGCTGTTCAAGACTCGCTCGTCACTCAAAACAAACGCAGCGCCCTCGAGGCACATGGCACGGGAACCGCGCTTGGAGATCCCGTCGAGGTTGGCGCAGCTACAGGCGCGCTCTGTGAGGCAGGAATCGACGTTTCTTGCACCTCGCTGAAAGCCAACATGGGGCATCTGGAGGCCGTCGCGGGCGGGGCTGGGGCGGCGGCCCTGCTTTGTTTGTCGTTGTCATTTTGAGGTGTCGCCGCCAACGCCCAGACACGGAATCTGAATCCGCACCTCGTCACTGTTGTCTGAAACGCGCCCTTCCACATCCCACTCTGCGATTCGGCACCTCTGTCGTGAGCACCTTTGGGTCGACTCAGCTCATTTGGGGCGACAGGGACAATTGCTCATGGGGCGTTTGTAGCTCTGGTGCGATACGGGTTAGCTCTGAACACAGACAAGCTACTAATGCTCTCCCTCTATCGTGCTCAGTAACCCAGCCGCTCTTTTTTGTGGCAAGCAAGTCGATGGACGACGCAACAGGATTCTGGAGTCACCCAAAGCGCGACAACGCCCCCCCGCGCCGGAGATCGCGACGTCAACACGTGCGCCTATACAGTCCTTTTGTCGCTAGCAGGCGGTGGACTGCGTTCATCTCTTGGTGACGTTCGCTTTGATCGCTGACTCATGTCATAAACTCACGACAGGGTCCTTGTTTGTCGCTTTGACTCTACAACACATGGTTGGGCTATACTTACGCAGTCGTGACAGCCTCGAGTGCTGGCGTGTGGTATGGTGTTGCAGGATTGGTCATACGCTGAGATTTTGAAGAATGTTCTCCAACCAGCGGCTTCGCGGACTTGGAACATTCGCGGTGAAGCACTTGGCACACTGCAGTTTGATAATTTTGGTAAGGCTATGCTACGATTTCCAGCCTCTTGAGACTCGCAAGCGCAGTCTGCTGGATTTTTCCTATTGTCGTTGGCAACTGCTCTCAATGAGGGTGAGGTCGACAGCCCGTAAGAAATACTCGCAATTGACATGTATTCGCATCAGAGCGCTGATACGCAGACACAGCACCTGTATCGCGCGATGGTCTCAGATCGCGCCGTGCGTTTCCTGGTTGTGGATGCGGCGTCCTGGGATAACACGGCGGTGGCGAGCGGGATCCACGTGCAGTGACGCGGCGCTTCCCTGGCTCCACTCGGCACTGCAGACATAACTTTCGAATCCAATGCCATCGGAATTGCCGCTCTGTCCTACTACGCTCCGAATCTAGCGCTGAACGCCTCAAGCGCGGAAGCATTCCACGTCAGTCCCGGCAGATACACGATGGGGCGCGGGTAGGAAAATATCACTTTCGTTGGCGATGATGAAGACACTGTCTCACTAGCACTGTCAAGTTTAAGTAGACTGCTTTGATAGTGTGAGCTAGCCTTCCTGGAAGTCGGGCGCCTCGAGGTTGGCACGGAAAGCGCTGTGGACCGCGGCAAGTCAACGAAGTCGTTCTTGATGTCATTATTCGAGGCTGACGACCACCACAGTGTTGAAGGGATCGACACCTTCAATGCGTGCTATGGCGGGACAAATGCATTATTCAGTACCACGGACTGGCTCCAGAGCAAAGCATGGAATGGCACGTACGGCGCTGTGGTCTGTTCCGACCCGGCGGTCCACCCAGATCCTGCTGATATCTCTGGCATTGGGGTGTCGTCAATATCCCTGGTGGTAGCGTCGCAAGCATCATTGCTGCTCCAGCGAGAGCGCACAACTTTCATCAAGCACTCCTGGGACTTCTATCGGCCCGTCGGGTGGCCCACAAACGACGCGGTAATGGACGTGAACATCGCGACTGGTCAATACGAAGAGGCCATGCTGTGGTGCCAGGGCTGATTTAGCGGAACAGTGGGTCGACGGGATCTACTGACAACATTCGATCTAGTAGCGTACCACAACAACGCTCCTTATCATTCAAAGAGGAACCTGTGACTCATGTGTGAAGTGATGTATGGTAAACTTTCCAAGGTTCAACACGAGAATCTGTTCTAAAAGCATGTTGCGGCTGGCATTGCCATAAGTGCCCAAAATGCTACCACCTACACGTGCCCGGTCTATGCTAGTTTACTGTCGTTCGCTCTCACGATTGGCTCTGGCCTGGCTAATCAACGCATCCTGTGCATGGCGTACGGATCTGGCTGCGCTGCTAGTATGTTCGGACTGGACGCTACTGCTGCGCCCGTGTACGCTTCAGCTGTGCTCGCCGGCCTGCGTAATCGGTAGCAAACACCAATTGAGGACGCCCTACTACTCGTCAACGCTTTTGAGATGACACATGGATGATTCGGATACGAGCCGTCACATCTCGAGAGCTGATAGGATGCAGCCTTTTATCTCAAGGGGGTCAGTGCAATGGGGGTCCGTGCCTACGAAGCTCATTCTGCAGTCGCGTTGATCAAGGTAGACTCGCTAGATTCTTCTCGTGTTGTCCGCGTCGAGCTAGGCTAGGACTCGGTGACCGACTCGTTGCTCGAGGAGCTCATCCCAGTCCTGGATCCTGGACGAATCATAGTTTTCGCTTTTGCGACTGCTGCTGAAAATGGCGTCGAGAGCGTCGTGGCAGAGAGACTCCTTCTCAATTACTTCTCGTCACGAAGCAGTCATCTTCCCATCGTTGTCTCGAGTCGCGGGCATACCACAGGGGGGAGAATGCTGATGATTGCGGTTGCAGATCTCGCGATTGCAACGTCTCAGTCTACGTTTGGACTGTCTGTGACGCTTCATCAACCCCTGGGCATTGCCCCCTTGGCACTTCGCAGACGGGTTAAAGCTCGCGTCATCCGGTGATGGCAGCTGCTTCAAGAGGACCTTGACGCGAGCACAGCACTGAGGAGCGGTCTTATTGAGATTATTATCTCAATGAGTGAAGAACGTGAGTTTCTTTGCTCTCTAGATCAGCGTTTGGCATCACGACCGACCACGGGCTCGCAGATGTAGATGATTTTCCCGGGAGCTTTGGCGACTGATCCCTCAACGCACAGCACCCGACAGCTTCAATTTAGATACCCCTTGGCGGGGGTCGGAGAATTATTGTTGGATGGAGGCTTTTGGAGGCAGACAGCTGAGTACATTCACAATCTTCCGCGGAAAGGGATGCATGCCATGGTGCTGCATGCAGGTTTCGGGATTCTGAGGGCATGCTTGCGTCATCACACTGAAGCGAATTCACCTAAGAGACTGACCTCTGACTAGCACGATCAATAATTGATTTTGAACATTCTTACAAAGCTCCGAGCTCCCCTACTAGGTGTTTTGCAGAGATATAGCTTGCGTGTGTTCAACTGGATGCTTGATGCCGACTGGAGGACGTGCGGGACTCAAGCTCATGGAGAAATGTCGTCGAGATATCAAGCTGCTAAAGACGCTCGACAGCTCTCATGGGAAAGTGCGGATCTGCTCAAAAGGGGCGTCGTTTCTGCGTTTCATGATGCTTCTTCTAGTCCATATTCTCATGCGCTCACACTCGCCTACACAGTGACCTAGGCACCTCGTACCGGGGCCCGGAACACGACCACACTACTGCGACCTAGCAATCAAATGGCCGGTGCAAACGTAGATACCTACTGGAGTGAGCAATATTGTGAAACAAGCAATGATGCCAAGCAGTACCCCCCGTCAACTTGTTGATTCTCGACGGAGTGGCATGTCTTCCTTGCGACACATTCATTGATTGAACACCGACCTAATTTTTTGGTTGAATAACGAAGAACGGTGGAGGTGTCAATCGGTAAAAATATGCCCTGCCTTTGGTTCGCTCGATCTATTGGTTTACATTATACAAATTTTGGTGTGTCAAAAGTAGCTCCAAAAGTGCAGAGATTCATTTCTTCCCACTCAAACCAGAAAGAAAAGCCAACGAATCGACAACTCTGGGCATAGATTCAAACATAAATATGCGCAAAAAGCGTTCTAAAGTTTTGCCTGATGGGACTCAACATCTGTAGCCTTGATATTTTTCTTCGTCAGATGCAGCCCAGCTCTCATTAACACGTGATCTGCTGCGCGCGTAGGCCACAAGAAACTGCTGATGGTATTTGGACTTTAGCGCGTGCGTTCTGCTATTGTGAATTGCCAACATCGCTCGTTCTTGTATCTGACACTGCTTCGGATATCGAGCCACTTGCGACAGCGTCGGATCTGCTGATTGTGGAGCGCAAAGACAACCCACACCAGAAATTTGCCCCTGCATTTGGCGCTGGCACGCGCATTAGCATCTCGTTGTCCAACTCCAAAGCGTCCTTCCGCCTGAAGTCATATCTCCACTCCAGATCAGCAGCCGAAGCTGTCGTGACTAGCTGTCGTAGTACCACTGCACAAGGTCCGAGTGTGGAACTAACACGCAACCAACGCACGGTGCGCCTTGTAGTTTCTACTGCCTCAACGTCGGTCGTTGAACTGAATGACGTAGTCCACTTCAATGCTCAAAGCGATTCTCTAATTGCAGACCTGACCCTATGCATCAATACACTCCGCAGGATAGCCTGGTATGCAGAGAGCTGATCTATGCTATTTCAGGGCGCCGGTGCTTACTTTTGTACCGGCGGAAACTTTGCACAGATGGCGCTGGGCGACTTCTAGCTATAGAAAGAAACTTTCGTTTCTTCGCTCTGGAGAACTTCGCGCGTCACCAGAGATATTCGTCGGCTCTGTGTGCCGAAATTCGGGGCACTCCATGGAAAGCTCTTGGGCGGGGGTGTCGCGTTTGCACTTGCAACAGATTGGCGCGTCTGTACCGCCGGGACGACGTTCAATTACGGCAACTTGCCGCGGGGAGTGAATCCCCTTTTCATGTTCAGCTGAGCGCTGCCATTGATGGTGGGGAACCCTACTGGGTTTCAAATCTATGTGGAGGATATAGTTCTCTCCAGTAATCAGGCAGATGTGAGTGGCATTGTAGACTAGATCACAGTCAGCAAGGCTGTAGCATAGCACTCGACAGCTGGTCCAGCCTTGTTCAGCACTCACTCAGTTTTCTGACCCATCTCAGTAGCTGCAGAGTGTGTGCTTGATGCTGCGCAAGCGGCGCTGGAGGTCGTGTGCTTCGCGGAGTCTTTCATGGATCGAATGGTTTCCGCTGAGAAACATCCTGAGGCAATGGGGAAGGGAGGCGTGCTCCATTGTGCATCTCCAATCTAAGCGGTACAGCCAGAATTCGACGATTCCGATGTATCATGAAAAGTAAGTTTATGCGTCGCTGAGGTGCTCGGCACTCAAGTAGCTGGAGACGCGGCGTTGATGGCCGCGGGTATCGACTCTCTGGGTGCCACGGAGCTGTAGCGAGCACTGAGCGACGAGTTCAGCGCCGAGCTCCCTGCCACCTTGCTTTTCGACCATCCATCAATTGAGGGAATTGCATCTTTGGTGGGCCAAGTGTTTCAAGTGGCATCGCCAAACATGGGTGGAATTGCCTGTTGCCAAGTGGACACGCACCAAGTGTAAGCAGTGGTGGCCACTTGCGTCGCGGAGGTGCTCGGCACTCAAGTAGCTGGAGACGCGGCGTTGATGGCCGCGGGAGTTGACTCTCTGGGCGCCACGGAGCTGTAGCAGGCACTGAGCGACGAGTTTAGCGCCGAGCTCCCGGCCACTCTCCTCTTTGATCACCCTTCGATCGAGGGTATTACTTCAATTATTACCTAGGAGAGGCTTCTGTTGGTTTCAATATTACACACTGAGGTGTAATCTTAAGTTCAAATGACAAGACTGAACCTCGAGTAAGATGCCTCGCCGCCTCTGCTGATATCAGAAGCATCAGATGGGACGGCAACCTTGACCTACAATCGGCCCAATAGTCAAAATGCCTGGGGCGGTGAAATGATCGATGCCTTATGCCGTTCTCTCAAACTCTTGAGCAACGACACGAGCACACAGCAAGTGGTGGTTACTGGAACTGGTCGCTATTTTTGTTCGGGAGCCGCTTTCACTGAGATCGCCGCAGTGTAATCCACCGACTCAGACCATTCGAATCCGCTCTCAGTATTCCTTAGTTTTCCGAAGCCAATTGTTGCAGCTGTAAACGGACCTGCTTTTGGCGCGGGTGTGACGCAAGCTACTCTCTGCGATGCCATCGTTTCTTGGGATGAAGCCACATTTTCCTTGCCCTTCAACCGATGGAAGGTATCGCCAGAAGGATGCTCATCAGTCCACCTGTTTCGCATCATTGGAGCTCGTGTGGCGTCCCGAATGATTGTAGACATGTGGATCCCTTCTTCTCTAGACCTAGTTGCGATTGGACTGGTCACGCGATCTGCGCGCACTGAAACGCTCGTAGAAACCGCATGTCAGCTTCAAATTACAAGACGAGCGCTCCCGGCCATTGGAAGTGCCTCGGAGGCAACCCATGAATACTCCGAAGCGGACGAGATAGAAAGTGCTGCTCTGAGTGATGCGTTTTCCTCTACACCTTTCTTCCTCGGATAAATTGAGTTTGCTATGCGCTAGTGATAGCCAATAGTTGAGACCACTTTTCGCATCAAGTTTTTGAATTCAGCCTTGTCCACCATAGTCTAGTTGATTCGCGATGAAGATGATAGCAGCGATGGAAAGTCGCGTGCGATTGTGGGTGCGATCGGTGGTATGCAGTAGCGGCGGCCATGAGAGACTAAACCTCCACTCGCAGAATACCGGGCCAGGCCTCCATTTTAATGAGACATCGGGCGAGGACTCTGATTCTAATTCCACAACAGCTGACCGTAGCTCCCCAAGCCGCACAATGTTTACCTTGGTGCATACTAGATCCGACTCGATGGTGGCATTGCAACCCTCCATTCGATGCGTCAGCTTTTAATTCGAGCCCTAGCGACTCCTTCGCACATCCCTTTGCAAAGATGGGCCGTAACTTCTTGAGAAACGGCAGCGAGCTACGGATCCTTCTTTCTCGGTGATCTCCGCTTGGAGTGTCACACGTTTGGCATTTCCCCACATCAAGCATGAAGTATGGACCGTCAGTTTATCGTGCTCCTCGAAGGGGCAGATTCTGTGCGGAAATCATGCAAGGAAGCATCGCGTGGTCATGAGCGAGACATCGGTGTTTTCGTAGGAATCCTCGGCTAACCTGTTGAACATGCGGCTGCTGGGGATCCCTCCGTAGCAGGAGCCCCATAAATCTCTTTCGCCAGCGGCCAAATATCATTTATTCTCGGGCTCACGGGCCCTTGTCTTTCCCTTGATACCGCGTGTTCTTCGCAACTTGTTGCTATTCACCTTGCATCTGCCGCCTTGATACTGCGTGAGTGCCCGGATGCGATTGCTTCCGGCGTTGGGCTGCTTGGGCCTATTTTAACGGGCGCCTTTGCCGCTCAGGGCATGTTATCTGGGCGGGGTTGATGTCACACGTTTGATGTCAGAGGAGACGGGTATTGTCGCGGGGAGGGCTCCGTGACCATCTTTTTGTCAGAGGTTGAAGTTTCTCGATTTAAAGTTGACGCGACACGGGTACAAAACGATGGACCGAGCGCAAGTTTGACCGCTCCTAACGGATCTGCGCAGCGGCGGCTTATAATCGCTGTGTAAGACTCGCTTGTCACTCAAAACAAACGCAATCCCGTCGCCCTAGAGGCACATGGCACGGGAACCGCGCTCGGTGATCCCGTCGAGGTTGGCGCAGCTACGGGCGCGCTCTGCAAGTCGGGGATCGAGGTTTCTTGCACCTCGCTAAAAGCAAGCATGGGACATCTAGAGGCTGTGGCGGGCGGAGCTGGAGCTGTAGCGTAGATTTGTTCGTCCCTAATTGTTCGCAACATTGCTGCCAACATTCAAGTTCGAAACCTGAATCCCCACCTAGTCACGCTCGTCCAAAATGCCCCCTGTCGTGTCCCGGTGGTTGATTTGGCACCTCTATTTTGTGCGCCTCTGGGTCGTCTCAGTTCATTTGGGGCTTCGGGCACCATCGCGCATGGAGCTTTTGTGGCTGTGGCGCGACAAGACTTGGCCCTGGACGCACCCAAGTCCTCCCTCTATCGTGCTCAGTGACCAACCATCTCTGACGAGCGGCGAGCAAGTCGATGGAGTACACAGCAGGACGTTGGCGCGTCCCCAAACTCGAACTTCCTGATTACCACGCTGCTGGCCTCGCAAGCCACTCTCGCCGTTTCAGTTGGATGAGGTATCATATTTCTGGGTGTTGCCCTTGTATCAGGAAGGGCCCCGAGGTCGCGCTCGGGTCTTTATTGCTGAAAGATGAAAAGGATGGCCGATCTAGAACAGCATAAGGATAATGGGATCTTGCACCCGGTGAGGTGACCCAGAGCTGATACAGACGCGAATAGATAAGTCTAGCCAGAAGGCATCTACGAGTTCATGTAACCTCTGGCGTGCAGCTTGGAACATTCAGTAAAGCAACGAGGGGAGGGGCTTTCCGGCAGGATTAAGTGGTCACTTGGGCGGGGGGGGGCGAGTGTTAATTCATTGCTACTGAAAAAAAAAGGGTCGACAATCAACTGTGCAGTTGTGCTCGAGAGTTGCGGTCTCGACGCGAAACGACATACCCCGGCCTTGCAATGTAGAGCCGCATGCCAATCTTCCACGAGGCTCGACCGCCGAGTACGAGAGCCCTCCGTCGAAGTCGACACTGGTCTGAGTATTAAATTGATGGGCTGGTTTAGGGATGTCCTTGGTACGGCAATAGACACAAACGCCCCGTTGATGTCCGCGGGCTTGAACTCTATAGCAGCAACGGACTTCACGCAGACTCTGTCTGCACACAGCGAACTGGAGCTTAGCCCGACGATGCTCTTCGACCATCCGACAGTGGATTCCATTATGACCCTGCTCTCGTCAAACGCCACCAACAGCGCACAAAAAATCAGTGATCTTGAGACGAGGAAGTACGCACTAGAGTTCTTGTCGCTGCCCACGAGCGAGCGGCAAAGGTAAACACCGTCGATGATCGCTGAATGGTGCTTTCAGTTACCCAGGCTGATGTGCTTCAATGCCGGCTTCCGCTCGATGTCCACGCGCGCACATGCGACCAACTCGCCCGTTCCCGCGGTCTGATGGGTGGTGGTGGGAGTATCCGCAGCTGCGCACTATGGCTCGTTCACGAGTGTCGACCAACTCGGCATCGATGTGGCTGCTTTCAAAATCTCAAATTCCGAAGGCAAGTCTATCGATACTCAGCAGCGCTTTGTTCTTGATGTTGGCTACCGTGCACTGCGGTCTGCTCTCTTGACCTGAGATGTCCTGGCGTATTCCAGTATCGGAGTGTTTGTCGGTATTGAGCCCAGCGGTCAAATGCACGGCAGCGAGGACGTATCTGTTTTCACCGCGACCGGTAGCGCGCTGTCGATTGCATCCGGGCGCTTGTCTTACACACTCGGTCTCGTTGGACCGTGCTATTCCATCGATACCGCCTGCGCTTCTTCCCTGGTGGCCTTGCACTCTTGCTGAACAGCTATATCACGAGGAGAATGCCGAGACGGAGTCACGATTGGGACAAAAGTTCTGAGCGAAGCTTCGAATGCCGCAACATCAATCGCGGGAATGACTTCATCTTGGGGACGATGCCACACTTTCGACGGTCGTGCAGATGGATATTGCCGCGGAGAGGGGTGCGCGGCATTCCTGTTATCGACTCGTCCCTGAATTGCCATCTTGGGCTCTGCGGTGCAGCAAGACGGCCCAAGCGCGAGTCTGACGGCGCCCAACGGATCGTCACAGAGGCGACTGCTCGAGGCGGTGCGAGATGATGGTGTCGCGGCGCACACGCTTGAGGCGCACGGCACGGGCACGGCGCTCGGAGATCCGATCGAGGTATGGCGTCCATGACTGAACGATCGCGATGGAGTAAGATGATTCGACTTAGGTGGGGGCAGCTATTGGAGCCTTGGGTGCGGGTGGCCAGCCAGTTGAGTGTGCCTCGTTGAAGTCGAACACGGGTCACTTGGAGGCATCGGCCGCCGCGGCGGGAATGATCTCTGTTCTGCTCGTGCCTCTTGGCATGTGCGTCGTTGCCATTAACGCGCAACTCAAGCTGTCCGTGTACCTCAAGCGTAGGTCCAATTAGATCCTGCCATGCTAGGCTGAACACGCACCTGTCCTCGATCCCATCAACATCCTTCGAGATGCCCGCCGAGGTGTAGGCCGGAGGTAACATCCAACGATCGTCTGTGTGTCGGCTGAGCTCGTTCGGGTTCAGCGGGACCATCGCGCATGGGGCATTTGCTCTGGCAATTTCTTGCTTGTCACTTGAGACCTCCGAGTCTCGTTCCCTCTATCGCGCGCAGCGCCTTACAATCCCTGGCCGGCGGTCAACACACAAGACACATGGAAGTGAGGAGACAAATTTGATTGGAATAGGCACTGGATCGCCCGGGCTATCCCAAGGCCCTTTGGCAGACATGATCCCAAGAGCAGATTAGCAGAATCCAGCAAACTTACATTCCTGAAGTTTGGTTGGGACCCAGGCGTGACTGCAAGGTGCAGAAAATACTCGCGTTCGTCCTGATTTTGAATGCACTGAACTGCAAGGCATCGCAATCGAGGTACCTCACACGCAATCTGAAAGACGTTGGTGGTATTAGTGTGGGAATTTCACCTTAGTGTACAGCGCCTAGTACATCTCTGGACTCTATCCGCCACGAAACAGTCACAAAAGGTGCATGAAATAGTCCCAAGAAGCGCACAGTTTTCATGCTCGAGCCCCTGCCAGAAAACGGTCTGGACCAATCAAGCTCCTATTCCTCCACGGCATGGACACGTGCGCGGAATTTCAAGCAGGTACTATGAACCATCAGGGATGGCTTCGAAGCCAATCAATCGAGTGGGGCACACTGAGCGCGCCAAACCAGGGCGCCGACTTCTCATCCGGAGCCGGCGGGGCGTTCTTGCGCGAGCAGTTTGGCTACGAGCCGCAGAAGTCGCGGTCGTGGCGCCTGATTACGCAGTATTCCCTGACGAGCGCGAGCCAAGCTGAGATGTTCGCTTGAATCCGCAGAGCTACAGATCTCAACGACGATAGGTACGGGCTCCGAGAGGATTGGACAGCGTCTGTCGAACAGATAACACGAGCCGTGAGGGAACAGGCTCCAGTTCACGGTTTTGCGGGTATCAGTGAGGGCGGCACCGTAGCGTCGATTCTCGTCGCTCAAAACACCGCTGACTTCAGGCCGGGGTTCTAGGGGTGATTGCTGATCAGCGTCTGCGCGCTGACTTCTCCTGCTCATGGCCAGCTGTACCAGGACGGAGCAGATAGTATGCTGTCGCTCCATTTGGTCGGCAACAACGACACGGTAGACATTTGACACATGGTTGGGCGAACTGCGGGGCTCGTTGGAGCTGGTTCCGGGGTTTATATGTTCTGCGGAGGGCATAAACTACCCAACATGAGCCCTCGGCTGGTCGATGCGTTAGAAGCACTCCACAACGGTACAATCAGGAAGTCTGTCGCGCATGCGCGCGACCCTGTTCAATTGAAACACCAATGCTCCCACTATAAGTACAATCACGAATTTATTTCTCATCAGACACCCCATGATGCGAGCATTGGGTCCATCAGCAGAACCTGCTCGCCTAGCACGGATGAGCCTTCACACAGTCCACGTGCATACTGGCAAGACGGGCACCTTCTGCGTTTGGAGTGTGAGCACCTACGGCCAATTACTCTCCTCGTGGCAAGTATGCTACACTCCATCACGTGCCAAGCTCTCGTTCTCTCCGAGACTGACGACGCACGGAATTTGGCGATGCGGTCGACCAGGTGCGATCTCGCTCCCAGTCTGGAAATCTACACCGCGACTCCAATTCTCGTGGTCCTTGGCCATCTTGCTCAAGTCGCGGACTGGTGCGTCGGTACAAGAAGACGTCAACAAGGAGAGCGCGCGATGACTCACGCATGGAACGAGAGCGCGGTCGCCTTCGACAAAAGGGATGCTCTAGTAGAATTGAGAAGTTGCACGTTGACCCTGTAGCGCATCAAGGTCGTTGGTATTTGAAATACGCTCGCCTCGATGCGCAAAAATCATGGGTTGCTCGCAGCTCGAGTAAGAATTGAGAGCGCTGCAAAATCGGCATAGGCCGTTACATCGACCTTACGTCTCATCGTGCAGCGTGGTAGCACAGGTCGGCCTTTGTGATGCGTGAAACCAACCGAGGTGCTCATGTCGCGGTCGGGGCTGAGAATCAAGGAATCTTCGTGCTATTGGAGTTCGGACCGGGTGATTAGGATTCGGCCTGCCGTCTAGTGCAGGTAGCTCTAGGAGCAGATGATACGATATTCAGCTGGTGTCGTTGTCGAACTGAGTATGAGCAGCCTAGGAGAGCTTCCCCCGCCTCTCATTGCAGCCCCGGTGATTCTAGTAGCTGAGAGAGCGTCCTATGCGTGATTTGCACAGATTGTTTGAGACTACACGCTCATCGTAAATCGGGGCCAGGAATCGTCTTCGGTTGGCCAGGGGAATGACTTGACTCTCTGAACTGCAGTCTTGTGTTTCAAGTCGTTGGCAGCAACCTGGGCCAATGTTGGCCCTACACTCCAGCTCCAGGTATCTATGAATGCCAGTCGACAGATGTAAGGTGGACACCTTGCTATCGTCGCCGCCCGCGGTGCAATTCACGTGTGCTTGACTCGATTTGAGTCAGCGGAGGTAAATGCCCTGACTGCGATTCTGGGCGCGGCCCGCAAAAGCGGAATGACCATCGACGTACTCGCATCTTTTTACGAGGACAATGGCATACCCGACACTTGGCCACTTGGCCACGAAAAGCTAGTTGGTAAAACAATGGTCGCTTCAGGGCTCTTGACATCCGATACAATCTCATCTTTCTGAGACATGTCGATTATGGCGGTCTCCGATGTCGAGGCGCTATACACATCCGTTGAATCTTTGACGCGAGCCGACAGCCTGGAAGCCGCTTGAAGGAGGCTCATAGACGATATCAAGCAGTAGAATCGCCAAAAAGCGACAGCCCTGATGAATAAGGATGTGCTCTTGCTGACGGCTGCACAAGCGCGCCGTGCGTTGAGCAGTGCATTGAAATCCATGTTCGGGGGTATGAAATTGGCTTCAGATGCTGACACTAAGCTCGTCACCCTCACGTGGAATGACACCACGACAGCATCACTCGAGCTCGACGACCCTTCCACGTTCAACGCCATGACCTCGAGCTTGCTGCAGAATCTTGGACGATGTCTGGCAGCTACGTTCGCCTCGACAGATATTTGAGCTCTGGTACTACAAGCCGCTGGTCCTCATTTCTGCACCGGAGGTCGCTACGACAAATAATCATCGTCACTCCCGCCTTCGTGGATCAAAGCGCAGGGCGTATACGGCAGCGGGTATCTCCTCGACCGAATATGAAGCGCATCATTCTTCTCAATCTCAGTACTCCAGGGGTCGTCCATCGGCGGCGGGTTGCTGTTGGGCCTGGCCACGGACCATCGTATCGCCACGCGCTCTGCGATTTTCCGGCTGGGCGTCGCGCCGTACGGCCTCAGTCCAGTAGTAATGGCAACGGTTGTACTACCGGAACTCGTCGGACACGGTCTCTCAACGCGAATGTACGCGGAGGACTTGTCCTTGGATGCGCATAACGCCATGGTTTCTGGAATCGTGAACGGTGTTTCTTCGAGTATTCACCACGGAAGGGCGCATGCCTGTCGATCTGCCTCTACTGGCGTTCTTGTGGGCAACATGGCAGCGGATGTGTATCAATGCTACACAGCGCACTCCTTTATCCAGGAGACTTTGCTAAATGTTGAGGCGAGTGGGAGCGCCACCCAGGAACTTCAGCGACAGGCACCCCGCCCCAATGCTGTCACCAGAGAAGTGAAAAATAAGCTCACCTCAGTAAAAGCCGAGCTAATATCTCCCAGGCCAGAAAATTCAGCGGAACTTTGTCCAACGGAAGAACCCAGAGGCAAACTAGCTTCCGCGCCCTTGGTTAGCAGCATCATCACCTCGGTGGTTGCTTCGTCCTAGGGGACTGCCGTGTCGAGCGATGTCCCGCTCATGGATGCAGGTCTCGATTCGCTCGCAGCATCAGAACTCGTAGGACAGCTGAGCAGCGAATTCAACGTAGACCTGCCTACGACACTGCTTTTTGATCACCCGAGCGTGGCTTCGATCTCGTCGTTCCTAGCGCCGTCCCAAGCTCCGTGAAATTCAGACCTAGAATCACGTGCAGGAGAGCTAGAACCTTGTGCAGGGGAAATAGAGCAAGCCATCGCGCCACGAAATTCTACCCCTGATGTATCTCTACGCGAGGTCTCCACGGTCATATCGTCCATCGTCGAGGAGAGTGTTGGCAATGATGTGACCTAAGACACACCTCTGATGGATGCGGGTGTCGATTCGCTCGCAGCTTCGGAGCTCGTGCAACAATTGAGCGGTGAGTTTTAGGTTGAGCTCTCTGCAACGTTGCTCTTCGATCACCCGAGTGTTGCGTCCATTTCATCGCACGTTGCATCGCTGGTGCTTACAGATGTAGGGAGTAATGTGCGTTCGACCGCAGACGTGGCCGCCCAGCCGACGTGCGCCCAACGACCAGTCTCGGAAGTTGACAACTCACCACTTGTCCTGTGAGAGACGGGCGCCGACGGGCTCATTGTGGTCCTCACGCTGAATCGACCTCACGTCTTCAACGGTGCCTTTGGTATGGAAATGGCCTTGGCAGAATCAATGAATGTGGTGGCAGAGGAGTCGGAAACCCGCGCCTGCGTCGTCACCGGCCGAGGCCGCGTCTACCACGTCGCGGAGCACCGGAACAACCGAGAGTTTGATCCGGTGAAACGGCGACACGCTTCGACGCGAGACTACCTTGTACACTACTTCAATGCGTTCATTAACTTCTCAAAGCCGGTCGTCGCGGCGCTAAATGGAAGCGCCTACGGTGGGGCGGCTACGAGCACCAGCCACTGCGATCATGTCATCGCAATCGAAGAAGCTGAGCTCTCGTTTCCGTTTAAAAGATGGGGCGTCGTTGCCGAGGGAAATTCGACGGTGCATCTCGCGCGGCTCTCGGGTCAAGCTCGTGCGGCTCGGATGTTGCGTGGCTGGATACCGCAGGCTGTTGAAGCGCAAGGCATCGGCCTCATCGATCGATGCACCACTGAAGTCTCCGGGAGCTCTAATTATCTTGACGCTGCGCTGGCGCTGGCTACAAAGTGGGCCACAGACGGTCGAACACGCACACCGAGAACGATAGGCGACTCCTCCGAGACATCCGAAGACTACAGGTGTACAAATGGATGCGAAGAAGATGCCCTTGGTTTGTCGTTCATCGGCAAGCCGTATCTCGCATCTCAAGTTAGCTTTTTTGGCGCGTGAATGGGAGCAGACTTGCCGTACTGGAAGGCGCTAATTCACACATCTGTCCTGTACTCTCTCGTGATAGAGTACCCAGCAACTGTCCCTTACGAAGAGGAAAGCAGGCGCTGGAATCAATTGCATGCTAGTTCGAATTCCGACAACAACTGAGAAGGCGTCATCGTAGCCGTCTGAGCACTAAGCAAAGGACCAAAAGAGTCAGAGATGACCTCGACGACGTTTCGAAAGATAATCCCGGTTGAGCAATCGCTGTAGTCACTCGCGTCGGCGGTCTTTAAGTTGCCGGGTGGCCTTCTCAAACGCGCGTCTTTAACTCATGCCATCTGTCGTGGATTAAACTTGGGCGGGTCAGTCCCTTTGTAAAGATGGGCCTAAACAACATACGTTTCCGCAAATTATGGTAACCTCTTCTGCGGTCCGCTTAGTCTGGAAGCTCGCATCTGGGGTATGTCCATGTGAGAAGTCCAAGCAGTTGACCCCCAGCAGCTTTTGCTCCTCGAGATAGGGTATGATGCCTTCTCTCACGCAACGTCAGCTGACTCTTGAACGAGGTGAGGAGAGTTGGTGAACGCTCACGTCGGCGTTTATGTCGGCGTATCGGGAGGTAGCTTTTTTACGCCTAGTGTCGCCTCTCCAAAAACGACCAAAGTAAGCGTGTACGCAGCCAGTGGATATGCGATATCGATTCTTTCCGGTCGCCTCTCGTTCATGCTGGGCCTCACGGGCCCGAACTTCCCCGTCGATACGGCCTGCTCCTCGACTCTAGCGGCGCTTCACTGCGCAGCCTAGGCCATGAAGCTCGATGAGTGTTCTCAGGCGTCTGTGTGCGGACTGGGAATTCTCGAAGTCACGGCAAGTGTTGGTACGGCGGCCGCCGGCATGACCTCGTCCTTTGGTTGATGTCATACCTTTGACAGACGTGCCGACGGATTTGCCTGAGCTGATGGGGCTGGTGGATTTATCTTGAACCAGGCTGGCTGCGTGAGTCAAGTGCTAGGTTCTGCTGTGCAACAAGACGGTCCGAGTGCAAGCCTGACTGCCCCAAACGGGTCGTCGCAACGCCGACTCCTTTAGTCGGCGAGGGATGAAAGTTCCGTCGAGCGAACGCTCGAGGCGCACGGCACGGGCACGGCGCTCGGGGACCCCATCGAGGTGTGATTCTCTTTTTATCAAAAGGAAGTTCAAAGAACCTTTCCTTAGGTCGGTGCTGCCATCGGGGCCTTGTGCGTGAACTCGGGACTAGTACAATGCACCTCTTTAAAATCAAACATGGGACACTTGGAGGCGTCTGCGGCCGCTGCAGGTCTTGCTTCTCTTGCGTTCCTGCCACTTTACGTGTCGCTAGTATCCGCAAACTCCCAGCTCAGTCGGTCTCTTTCAACTGAGAGTAACGAGCGAGCCACGGCTCAATAATAGGTTAAACGCACATCTGTCCCAACTCGCATCATCGTGATTTGAGCTACGCGTCGAGTCGAGTGTACGAGCGAATAATGGCGGAGCTTCCACGGGTCGCTTGAGCTCCTTTGGCTACAGCGGAGCAATTGCGCACGGGGCGTTTGCGGCTTCGGCGTCCTCGAGGTCGGTCCTAGATGAGCGAAGTTCGACCTCTTTGTATCGCGCCTAGCTTCTGGCGGACTTTGGCGACAAGAAGTGTCGCGAGAGCGTTTGCGGGCCACACGTAGCATGTGAGATACACTGCGCTGCTGCCAGAACTCATGAGCCGTAGCACGGGGTGCTGCAAGGTCCTTCTGTGTTCTTGGCCGGGGGCTCAGTAGGAAAGTCGAAGCAAGTGAACGAATCAGCTTTCTTGTGAGATCGCAGGGAACGATGCAGTCTTGCCAGCTGCCCCCATCACAGATTGGTCAAACGCGCTTGTGCAAGTCGTGCAAAAGCAGTTCACGCGTGAGTTGAGACTAACGAAAAATCACCTCACGCCGCAAACGCGCTCGCGGGCTGGACTCGCAGATGAATGTAGACCGACTGTGCACGGTTCTCGCTCTTCTTGGTACATCACATGCATCTCGCTACCCACGGGCTTTTATTCAGTGCCGGGTGTTTGTTTGGAGCGCCCCTGAGGAGCATTGAACAACCTTGGGCGCACGCGAACCCGCCATATTCGCGCACGATTTGGCAGTCTAGAACAACCCTGCGTTCACCAGTCCGGCTCCTGTTCCTCCACGGCATGGACACGTACGCAGAATTTCAAGTAGGTTCCATGAACCATCAGGGATGGCTTTCAAGCCAAACAATCGAGTGGACCACAGTGAGCGCTCCGAACCAGGGCGCCGACTTTTCATCCGGAGCCGGTGGGGCGTTCTTGCGCGAGCGGTTTGGCTACGAGCCACGGAAGTCGCGGTCTTGGCGCCTGGTTACGCAGTATTCCCTGACGAGCGCAAGCCAAGCTGAGATGTTTGCTTGAATTTGAAAAGCCACAGATGTCAACGTCGATAGCTTCGGGCTGCGGGAGGGTTGGACAGCATCTGTTGAGCAGATAACGCGAGCTGTGGGGGAACAAGCTACAGTTCACGGTTTAGCGGGTATCAGCGAGGGCGGCACCGCAGCGTCGATTTTGATCAAGTAAAACACCTCTGACTTTGGACCTGGTTTCTTAAACCGATTGCTGATAACTGTCTGCGCGCTGACGTCGCCTGCTCATAGTCGCCTGTACCAGGACGGGGCAGGCAACACGCCATCCCTCCACTTGGTCGGCAATGGCGACACCAACGATATCTAGCACATGGTTGGGCGGACTGCGGGGCTCGTTGGGTCCAGCTCTGGGGTTTGCGTGTTCCGTGGAGGGCACAAACTACCCAACATGAGCCCTCGACTGGTTGCTGCGTTGGAAGCACTCCATGACAGTACGATTGGCGGGTCCATCGCGCATGCGCGCGACCCTGTTCAATTGAAACACCAATGTTCCTACTAGAAGCACGATCATGAATGTATTTCTCATCAAAAAATCCAGAATGCCAGGTCAAACCAAACTTGTTTGCATAACACGGATACTCATTCACGCACTGCGCGTGCGTATTGGCAAGACGGACACGTTCTGCGTTTGGAGTGCGGGCGCCTAAAGACAATCACTCTTCTCCTGGCAAGTACGCCACACTCCATCACGTGCCACTCTCTCATTGTCTCCGAGACTGACGATAACATGCGGTATTCGACGATGCGGTCAACTAGGGGCAGTCTCGTTCCTGGTCTGGAAAGATACAGCACGACTCCAATCCTCGCAATCCCGGGCAAAGGGTGAATGGATCTTGCTCAAGTCGCGGACTGGTGCGTCGGTACGAGAGGACGTCAACAAGGAGAGTGCGTGATGACTCACCCATGGAACGAGAGTGCTGTTGCCTTGGACAGAAGGGATGCTCTCAATCGATTAAGAAGCTACACGTTGACCCTATAGGGCATCAAGGTCGTTGGTATTTGAAACACGCTAGCTTCGATGCGCAAATAGCATGCGTTGCTCGCGCCTCAAGAAGGGGGCGATGTAAGATGGGCAGGGGTCGTTACGTCGACCTAACGTCTCATTGTGCAGCGTGGTAGCACCGGTCGGCCTTTGTGATGTGCGAAATCGACCGAGGCGTTCACGTCGCCGTCGATGCCGAGACTCAAAGAATCTTCGTGCTGTTGGAGTTCGGACCGGGTGATTGTGATTCGGCCTGCCGTCCAGTGCAGCCAACTTTAGGAGCAGATGGTGCGGTACTCCGCTGGTGTCGTTGTCGAACTGAGTATGAGCAGCCCGGGAGAGCTTTCCCCGCCTCTCGTTGCATCCCCGATGATTCTAGTAGCTGAGAAAGCGTCCTATGCGTGATCTGCACAAATTGTTTGAGACTACACACTCGTCGTAAATCGGAGCCGGAAATTCTCTTTAGTTGGCCAACTGAATGACTTGACTCTCTGAACTGCAGTCTCGTGTTTCAAGTCGCTAGCAAAAACCCGGGCTAGTATCGGGCCCACCGTCCAGCTCTAGGTTTTTATGAGTCCCAGTCGACAGATATAACACTCAAGTGTCCACCTTGCTCTCGTCGCCGGCTGTGGCGCAGTTCACGTGTGCTTGACTTGATTTGAGTCAGCGGAGGTAAATGCCCTGACTGCGATTCTGGGCGCTGCCCCCAAAAGCGGAATGAGTATTGACCTACTCGCATCTTTTTTAAATGAGGACAATTGCATCCGCGACACTTGGTTACTTGGCAACGAAAAGCTAGTTGGTAAAACAATGGTCGCTTCAGGGCTGTTGACGTTCGATGCAATTTCATCTCTCCGAGACATTTCGACTACGGCGGTCTCCGATGTCGAGGCGCTATACAGGTCCGTCCAATCTTCGGCGCGAGCCGATAGCCTGGAAGCCGCTTGAGTGAGGCTCATTGATGACATCAAGCAGGAGAATCAACAAAAAGCGACAGCCACGACAAACCAGGGTGTGCTCCTGCTACCGGCTGCAGAAGTGCGCCGTGCGTTGAGCACTGTATCAAAGTCCATGTTCAGCGGTATGAAATTGGCTGCAGACACTGACACTAAGCTCGTCGCCCTCACGTGGAATGGCACCAACACCGCGTCGCTCGAGCTCGACGACCCTTCCACGTTCAACGCCATGACCCCGAGCTTGCTGGAGAATCTTGGACGATGTCTGGCAGCTGCATTCGCCTCGACAGAGATTTGAGCTCTGGTGCTCCAAGCCGCCGGCCCCCATTTCTGCACCGGAGGTCGCTACGACAAAAAAGCATCGCTACTCCCGCCTTGGTGGATCAAAGCGCAGGGCGTATACGGCAGCGGGTGTCTCCTCGACCGAATATGAAGCGCATCAATCTTCTCAATCTCAGTACTCCAGGGATCGTCCATCGGCGGCGGGTTGCTGTTGGGCCTGGCCACGGACCATCGTATCGCCACGCGCTCTGCGATTTTCCGGCTGGGCGTCGCGCCGTATGGCCTCAGTCCGGTAGTGATGGCAACAGCTGTACTGCCGAAGCTCGTCGGACACAGTCTCGCAATGCGAATGTACGTTGAAGACTTGTCCTTAAACGCCCACAACGCCATAGCATCTGATATCTCAAGTATCTTGATGTCCGACAGTCAGATAGCGCAAAGGGAAGCCGCGCAACGCGCCCTTGCTGTCTCCGTAACTCCTGAATGAGGGGATGGTTGTAGCAAGGCGCATCATTTCATTCAGGAGTCCCTTCTCAACGTCGAGGCGAGCGGACGCGCCAACGAGGCGCTTGAACCAACGTCGCCGGGTTCACGGGTATGAGAATGAAAGATTACAAAAGCAGACGTGTCGACCTCTTGTCCTGAAAACGCAGTACTCTCTTAAAGTCATCCCACGGTCACGCCTGCTATCACAGCAAAGGCTGTCGAGAATCTCGTCGCCTCCGTAGTCTCCTCGATGCTCGGGGAGGCAAGTATCGGCACTGACACACCACTCATGGATGCCGGAGTGGATTCAATTTCGGCTGCCGAACTTGTGCAGCAGCTTGGGATCCAGTTCAGTACTGAGCTCCCAGCGACGACGCTATTTGACTACCCGAGCATTGCATCAATAGCGCAACATCTCACACCTAAGCCCCAGTTCTTGGAAGCACAAGCCCCGTACATTGACGACCCTGCAGACTGAAAAACGGAAGACTAAAGCTGTTCAGTATTTGTGGCGGCCAAATCGCTCCGTCTTCCGCCTCGTCTCCACCTCAACTCCGACGCAGCGGGGTGCTCGAAAGGAACGCTGAACATGGCTTCTTCAGTGCCATTCTCACGCTGGGACATGGACACAGTCGATGTGAGGTGATTCAATGCTGACTAGAGACAACGTCTCTGATACGCCGCCTTCTTGGAGCACGGGGACGAGTTCGATGCCAGATTCTTTCGAGTTTGATCGGCGGAAGCGGCGCCGATGGACCCGCAGCAATTTCTCGTACTACACGTCGGATATCATGCGCTGCGGAGAAGATTGCTCGACTGAAGTTCGCTCGCGAGCGCGGACGTCGGAGTCGCGCTCGGTATGATGAATTCGGATAACATGTGGAAGATTTCACGAGTTCCCGGTCCGTATGATATGACCGGCAATGGCATGTCCGCGGCCGGGGCCCGTCTGTCTTTCGTCTTCGCGATGCGCGGTCCGTGCGTTGCCACGGATACCGCGTGCTCGTCCAGCCTCGTCGCCACTCACCTCGCGGTGCGCCAGATAGAGCACGGCGAGTGTGTTCATGCGCTGTCGATAGGAAGCAGCATGATTCTGAGCCCGCGCGGCGCGTTTTCCATGTTTTCCATCGCTGGGATGCTGTCGACGAGCGGCCGATGCCACACGTTCGATTCCCGCGCGAACGGGTATCAGCGCGGCGAGGGCTGCGTGAGCATCGTGAACAGCTCCGTCGGCTCCGAGAACGTGCACCTGGGGTCGAGCTGCCTGCACAATGGTCAGAGTGCGACATTCACCGCGCTGAACGGGTCGTCGTAGTAGCACCTGCTGCGTCGCAGCGGAGAACTCGACACTCGATTCATCGAAGCCCACGGGACCGGCACATCGCTGGGCGATCCCGTGGAAGTCGGCTCGTTGGCCGGCGTGTTCGCGTCGTCTGCTGTGTCGATTACTTCCCTCAAGGGTAATCTGGGCCACATGGAAGGCACGGCTGGTGCTGGCGGCTTGCTGAATCTCAGCAGCGTGCTCGAATTTCGGTCGGCAGTCGCCAACGCCCAGCTTCGCCGGCTGAATCCGAACCTACAGAACATGATCGCTGGATGAACACTGGAGCTCGCGGCGGACTAGACTACGGTGACGCGGGCATCGACCGGCGGCGCGAGCTCGTTCGGGGCTACGGGCATCATCGCGCACGCGCGGCTTGGAGGCTTTCAAGTAATCAAGTTGCCGAGTACTTTTTGTAAACTTGGGACTCCATCTTCGTGTCGTGCTTGTATCTAGCAATCAAGGATGTAAGTGTATTGATGGATTGCCTCAAAAAGAGCTTCAAGCCCTTAAGGGTCCAGCATTGCACCATACACCTCAATCTCTCCCATACTCTCTGATCATATAATACACCCCCCCTCACCGAAAGTTTATCTTTTAACATCTCGCGCGTTTATACCTGCCGTCAATCTGCCACAATTGTATTCGTCTTCAGAATTGGCTGATCTACTATAGCACAAGGACGATGGGATCTTGCATCGGGCGATGTGACTGGGCGCTGATACAGTCTAGCGAGGAAACATTCATGAGTTCATTTGAACCCTGGCGTGCAGCTCGGAAAATTCAGTGAAGCAATGGAGGGGGGGGCCTTCCGGCGGGGTTGAGTGGTGACTTTGGTGGGGGGGGCTGACTGTTGATTCATTGCTACTGGAAAACAAAACGTTGACAAGCACTCTCACGTCCGTCCCACTATCATCCTCTGGGCATTGGCAATCTACCTAGGACCTATCAGGCTCTATTACCGAGACCATTTGATTAGTTTGGGCTTCTCGGACGCTAGGATGCCATGACTTGGCCAATCGCAACATCAGTACCAAAGTATCCCAAGCTTGATGCTTAGGGCGACACTCAAGCAGCATATGGTTCCCCGGAATCATCTCTCAAGCGCACGCTGTGGAGCTGGTCCGCTTGGACACGTACAACCTGTCTCATTTGCTCGTGTTTGAGAATAACAATTTTGCATCATCTCAATAGGGTCCAAGGAAGTTGGCTACGGGAAGTAGCCTCACAAATCAATCGTCCCTGACTTGTTACAATATACAAGTCTCTGCTAGATCTGACTGTTGTGATACCAAGACGATGATATGCTCCGTGGCCTGGGAGGCTCTCGGTACACAAGTAGACATGAATACTCCGTTGATGTCAGCTGGCTTGGACTCTCTCGCAGCAACGGACTTTGCACGGACCCTCTCTACAAGTTTGGGACTCGAGGTGAGCCCGACCATGCTCTTTGACCACCCGACATTAGATTCCGTTGTGACATTCCTCTCTGCGGATTTCGGCAGCGCACTGGCATGTGGGGTTCAGCCTGAGCGATACCACCCGCATATTTTGCAGCAGTCATCTCTTCATGAGTGAGAAGAGCAGCAGTCGATTTTAGCATTCAGGTTCCAGCTGGTCGGGTCGATTTGCTCCGATGATGGATTGCGCTCAATTTTGATGTGCGTGCACACGACGAATTCGCGTGTCCCCGCAATGCGATGGGTGACGGCGAATTCACGAGTGGCCACGGCCGCAGGGTATGGCTCATTCATGTGCGTGAAGCAATGCAGCATCGATATTGGTGTATTCAAAATTTCGATGCTAGAAGCGAAGTCCATCGATCCTCAGCAACTTTTTGTGCTCAATGTTGCGTACGATGTCCTGCGCATGATTGCTTCAACACGAGATCACTATTTGTATGCGGATGTCGGAGTATTCGTTGGAGTTGAACCCAGTGGCTGAGAAGATAATAACATGGACGTAAATGTGTTTACCGCGAGCGGTGTTGCGCTATCAGTGACGTCCGGGCGGTTATCCTACATGCTTGGTCTCATTGGACCGTGCTATTCGATTGATACTGCCTGCGCTTCCTCCTTGGTTGCGTTGCACTCTTGCTGAGGAGCTCTTAAGAATGGAGAATGCTTAAAGTCTGTGAGTATCGGGACCAAAATCCTCAGCGAAGCGCTCAATACTGCTACATCGATCGCTGGAATGACATCTTCTCACGGATGATGCCACACATTTGACGATCGAGCAGACGGGTATTGCCGTGGAGAGGGATGCGGAGCTTACCTGCTGTCGTCTAAAGGTTCTAGTGGCTAGGTCATTGGCACGGCTGTGCAGTAAGACGGCCCAAGCGCGAGTCTGACGGCACCCAACGGGTCTTCGCAAGAGCGACTTATCAAGACGGTGCAGGGTAAAGAAGACAAATACCCGGCATTGGAAGCGCACGGCACGGGCACATTGCTCGGCGATCCCATCGAGGTAAGGCTGGCAACAATTCTTCGGATGTTTTTATTCGTTTCTTGTAGGTGGGGGCGTTGATCAGGGCCTTGTGTGCAAAATCTTAGCTAGTACGGTGCGACTCGTTGAAGTCGAACATGGGTCACTGCGAGGCATCGGCGGCCGCCGCGGGATTGGCCTCTCTCGTGCTCGTACCCCTCAGTATGTGTGTGGTTGCTACGAACGCGCAGCTTAGGCTGTCGGCGCAATTCAAGTGCGAGGCCTGCTGAATTTCGAGCGCACAAGGTTGAACACGCACCTGCCCTCGATCGTGTCGTTCTGATTCCAGATGCCCTTGGAAACTGCTGCTCAAGGTGAGAATCAGCGAACATCCGTGGGTCGGTTGAGCTCCTTCGGCTTCAGCGGGACCATCGCGCACGGGGCTTTCACATTTCCAGCATGTTTGGCAGCGTCCTGAAAGGAAGCGATATTGGCCTCATGCTATCGCGCCCAAACTTCAGCATTATCAAGGCTTCGCTCAGTATATGTCCAGCACAGCCCAAGTTTGACACAGGAGTCACCTCTGGCTGCTATCTTGGAGCACCGGGTGCACTCTAACACTTCGTATCCTAGGCTACCTTATGGAGCTTTCACATTTTTCGACCATCGTAGCAGCTCACGTGAATGAGAATATGCAGCGTCACCATCCCAGCGCTACGGGATTGGGCGAACCCACGCAACATATGTCCATGAGGAACAAAAATAAAGCACTCATGGATGCCAATTGGCCTGTTTTGCCGAAGTAGGCCATGCTTGACGAACAGCTCCGTGTAACATCGACGCTCTTGTGGCTCAAAACTGAGAAATGAATTAGTGTCCCATACTGCAGTGGCTTATGGATTCGAAGATGGTGATGCAACTCACAACACATCAATACATCTCGCCCTTCATCTTCATACAAAAACATGCGTCGATGAGCCTTGACGATGCAGATTATCGGCCTATGTTTCAATTGAAAGGGCTTTGAGCTGCGATCGTCGACGAACTAATAGTTCGCCGGTCCCGAGGAGACCCCTTCGTGTCCGAGCCTATCAAATATGCAAAGTGCCAGACAGGCGGCAGTGAGTTTGAAGTCGATGCGCCAGCAAGCGAAGATGGGAGTGCACGGGCGTCTGCTCCCACAACTGATTGTGCTGATATCAAGACATTGGTGTGTTCCGTGGCCCGGGAAGCTCTTGGTACGTCAGTAGACACAAACACTCCGCTGATGTCGGCGGGTTTGGACTCTATCGCTACTTCAGACTTCACGCAGACCTTATCTACAGAAACTGGGATCAAAATGACCCCAGTGATGCTATTTGACCATCCGACACTAGACTCCATTGCGGTCCTTCTTTTTGCGAACCCCGAGAGCTCGTAGACGTCTGAGCCTCGGGTCATGCAATCCAAATTGAAAATTTCGCTGCCATTGTCACCGAGCGAAATATTGGAATGGGCGTTAACGACGATTGTGGCATGGAGCTTCTAGCTGCCAAGGTCGCTTTGCTTGGACACGGCGCTATGCTCACTGTCGACGCGCGCGCACACGACCAACTCGAGTGCCCCTCTGATGCGATGGACGACAGTCGATTCCGTAGCCGCGAACTACGGCTCGTTTGCGAGCATCGATCAGTACAGTATTGATGCGCTTGTTTTCCATATCTCGATACTTGAAGCGAAGTCAGTGGACCCGCAACAGAAATTTGTACTAGATGTTGGCTACCACGCCGCACATAGAGGTTACGAAAAAAAGACAACTTCAGTAGTGCGACATCAGCTGATGAATTCCAACGTCGGAGTATTCGTTGGCATTGAGCCTAGTGATTATAGAGATGTTAATATGGAAGTTAATGTGTTCACTCCAAGCGGGGCGGCGCTGTCTATTGCTTCTGGGAGGCTGGCGTACACACTTGGTCTCGTTGGACCATGCTATTCCATCGATACTGCGTGCGCGTCTTCCTTGGTGGCCTTGCACTCTTGCTGAATAGCCCTCCGAGGTCGAGAATGTGGAGATTGCCTCGACATTGGCACCAAAATTCTCAGTGAAGCCATGAATACCGCGACGTCGGTCGCTGGAATGACATCCTCTCATGGATGATGTCACACTTTCGACAATCGGGCAGATGGTTACTGCCGCGGCGAGGGATGTGGGGCTTTTTTTCTGTCCTCTCACTCCAAGGTTTTGGTCCTCGGCACGGCCGTGCAGCAAGACGGCCCGAGCGCAAGTCTAACCGCGCCCAACGGGTCATCGCAAAAACGACTTATCGAAAATGTTCAAGATAATGGTGCCACTTACCGCACGCTGGAAGCGCACGGCACTGGTACGGCACTTGGAGACCCCGTTGAAGTACGCATCTTGAAGGGCAGTGACACTTCACCTATTCATTTCTCTCAGGTCGGCGCTGCCATGAAAGCTTTGTGTATGGACTCTAGGCCAATACAGTGCGCTTCTTTAAAGTCGAACATGGGTCACCTGGAGGCGTCAGCGGCCGCTTCGGGGCTGGCTTCTCTTGTGCTCGTACCACTTCGCACATGCTTGATCGCTATGAATGCACAGCTCAGGCTGTCAGACGCCTCTTGGAAGCGAACCCCCCAACTCGAGAGTTGTAGGCTGAGCACTCACCTGTTTTCGATCGTGTCGACATCGTTCGAGATGCCCACCGAGGTTTTGGCTGCAGGCCTAAGTCGATAATCACCGGTGGGTCGGCTGAGCTCCTTCGGCTTCAGCGGGACCATCGCGCACGGGGCTTTTACTTCTCCAGCAGGCTTGGCATCGTCGTGAAAGGAAGCGAGATGGGCTTCATGCTATCGCGCCCAAACATCAGCATTATTAATGGGGATGGCAATCTCCGCGTATCGCGCTCAACGAGTCAACCCTTCACGTGGGATGTCGGCGGTTAGCAATGAATCATTATCACAAGATTCGCGCAGACAAGAAGGCAACATTGGGTCTTTCAAAGAGACCAAGATGCGTCTAAATATTCCTGGGATGAAAGCTTGGAAACCAAGCTCGCAAGCCGAGATTGTGAGAGTAGTCAAAGATTTATTATTGAAAAGCCTGAGCGTTGATTTTGCCCTAGATACACCATTTTATCAATTTGCATCTCCTTAGCTTGACCATCACACGCCGTTCATGGCCATGGGACTCAAGTCTAGCGCTGCTTTGAGTCTTGTTGGAGAACTGAGCACATGCTTTGAAATAGAAATACCCATCACTTAGCTCTTCGAAACACCTACGATTGAAACATTTAGCTAACACATCGAGGCATCGTGTAGTGTATCGCGCTGCAAGATTGAAGAAGTGCTGATAACCGCGCTGCAGGTGCATGCCTCACCCCTCAGTAGCAACGTCGGTAGTCTGTGAGACGGTATCCAAGAGGCATTTGGTATTGATTTGGAGTTCGAAGAAATAAAAGATGGAAGACAACTCTGTGGCGTAATAGGCGCGCTCGCAAAAGGCGATGTGGATTGCAGGGGCTCGGACGAAGTACTTTTGGAGCCTCTGTCAGATGACCAACATTGGGAATCCGTAATCAAGAACGGTATGACTATACCAGGTTAACACATGTATTCAAACTGATTGCCAAGAATGGCAGGATTCCTACTTTCAACAAAACACTCTGGAGCATCCCATCTTCTCTAGTGTTTCTCATCTGCCTATTTCCATGCTGTAGACAGTCTTTGTTTACTCGTGTTTTCGACGGTCGAAGACCGTTGCTACTCTGCTCCGTCAAAAGACAGGGACGAGTTATTCTCGTGCGCGTCTTCTTTGTGAAATATGACGTTTGACTACATACGACGATAGCTGACCTGTAAAGATGCATACTGCGAAATCCAAGAGTGGTGTGCGCCAAGGACCCTTGTAGATTCCACTCCAGCATACTCGGCGCATATTGACTTGGCTGTGTTCAATATCTAAAATTTCTTTTTTAACGCACGTGTCGTGCATCTTGTTTGAAATCCCTCGTAATGTGCGAGTTTGGAAATGAGCCAACGAGATTGCGAGCGCTTGTGGGCGGAAACCTTCCTGAAATTATCAATTTGCCTTGATTCATTTTCTGATCCTACGCATGTGTGCCGGCTGCGGTACGAAGATTTGTGTGATTCGTCAGAGAGCACAATGTGAGATTTGGAATTATTCTTCTGCCGTCCACCCGGAAGTCTCCATTGGACCTGAGCCAAAGAGCGGGTTTCGATTCCCCCTACATTGCAGCTGCGTTCCCCACTCAAGTTGCAGCTCAAGACTCGTCAGCTTGCCTGGTCTTTGGGATACTCGGTACACGTCCCGAGCGCGAATTTTAACTTTATTCGGTTTGATGTAGAAAGCGGGATGGTCCTTGTCGTACAAAAGGGAGAGGACCGGAACACAACTCTGGTCACCATTCACGGTGGGACCGGTACCCCCGTTGGAACGCTTCTCGCATGCCATTTATCAAATTCAGTGCCGATCATCGCGCTGCAAGCGCCCGAACTCGTCGCGCCAAATGCCACGAGACCCTTCGTAGACGTGGAAGCGTGAATGTCCTACTACAGGAAAATCATGATCATGTAGCTTCGCCACCCTAGATGTGTGCACGTGGCTGGCCTCTCCCAGGGCGGGTGGTACGCCGCTTTATTCGCGCGCAGCCTAGAAGACGCGAAGATCTCGTGTGTGTCTTTGCACGTGGTCGATCCGACGCCTCTGGGCGGTTGAGGGTACAGAGGCCTGCTTGTGCAGATGGCGTCATTTTTTGACATGTTGTGCGCTACTTTTTTCTCGGAGAATTCGTGCGCAGCGGAATCAGCCGTGGCGTGCGGAGACCTGACGAGTATAGGTTCGCTCGTCCAGCACATTTCAGAGTCGGTACCCGTTTCAATCCAGGAAGAAGTCTGGAGGCTGGTGTATTACGCAATCTCATAAGAGACAGAATATTTTAACCTCGTGCGCAAGCGTCCTGACTTCTTTCGCCGCCTTTGCGCCCCGACCGCGTTCTTTAAATGCCGGGACGACGGTCCGGCCTTTTTCAAGCGGCTGTCTCATTTTTCGTGCGAGCATCTCGATGCTGTGTACGGCTGGAGCCGCGCCCAATCCAAGTAGGGTCACCCGACAATTTTGGACTGTCTCCACATCGACCCGCTGAATAAATCACCCTGGATCAATTTGGTCGCGTTTTGGATTTAGCGATCGGTCGTCGCGGATCCTCGCGGTTTTTGGCATGAAGCGGTTCAAGAGGGTCGGGGCATGGAGAGAATGTGCGCGACCTGGGCTCTTGTGCACTCAGAACACTTGAATCGCTATCTCGACACTCCGGGCGTCAGCGGCTTGGATCGCGCCTACGCAAAAAGCACATCCTACACAATCTCGGCCGCTAGCGATACGATTTGCATATCCGTACCGTCGGCCACCGGGGCCATCGAGACGGTCTGCGCGCTCGACGGTCTGCCGACAAAGGTCAACGTTGGCGATGATTTTTCTTTCGACTCCGTCGTTTGGAGTGCCGACACCCTCATCTTGACAAGAAAAAGGTCCAGCCATATCATTTGCGTGCAGCACGTCCTCGAATCTGAAGACATACTAGTCGTCAGGTCCAGTTTGGACGCCACCGTCGAGCTCGTGCAGCGTTATCGGCGCCTCTAGGTAGACCTCCCTTTTGGCGTTCCTGGCTAACTAGGGCCACTGCCGCTGTAGAGAATCCGAGCCTCATCCTTTGTTAACGCCACCGTAATGATAACCGCAGCTAAAGCTTCGCGCACGCAATAACTGTCCGTCTCGTTTTACACGGGGAGAAGGGCTATGGAAAGCATCTTTGCGTTTCTCCTCCTCGATTATCTCGTCATTAAGTTTGCGCAAGAAACTGTGAAACCTTTCCTCAGTAAAATCTGATTTATCAGAATTCTCATATGGTCCCTCTAACTCCACCAGTAATTCCAACATCAAAGTCAGGAGTGTGTCGGAATGGGTTACACTGTGTTATCCACACTTAAATTCAACACAAACAGCAGAAGATTTTTGGGTTCAATGTCAGCATTTTGGCTAATATGCCCCAAATGATATGTATCATTCCATATCTTTTACCAATGATACTTCCCGTGTATCACCAATGATACTTTTCAGTAAGAATGATACAAGATATAGAATGATGATACTTCTCGTATCATTAGTCTTATATAAAGCGGTATCTTTGATCGGGGATGGACAAGGGGTCCTTGCGATCATCATCCGCGCGGATATATACAGGATTCTCCAAGGTAATGATTATCCAAACCCGTCTACCCAATATCCTTTCCCCTTCTTAATACTTTCTAACCCTGTTATAGTTGCTTCCCGCACTGTAATAGACGGAGAGACTTCCTGGACCTAAGGACGTAAGTTCACCTGGTAGTCGTGGGGCATGTCGTGCGCTGCATACGCGCTCGCCGAAGATTGACCTGGATGGCCATCCTCGCGTATCCAGTACGCCAAAGACCGGCCCTCGAGGGCTAAAGTACCTCCCACAGGAGCCGAGTTTACAAACGGCATGATGGTGAGCATGAATCTGAGGGCAGGCGCAGCGCCGCCACGGATGCACCACGAGAAGTCGTAGCAGTAGTGGGGCCGGTGCTCGCGGTGCTCCACGCAGGCGACGTCGGAGTCCGCGCCGCCGAGGTCCAGGCCGTAGTAGCCCGTCGGGGCGTAGGGCTTGACGGTGTGGAGGCTCGTGCCGTGATTGTCGCACGCGGACCCGGGCGGGCACTCGGCGCAGTACTCGTCGACCGTCGTGACGACGGTGCGGTTGTCGACGCCGCCGATCCCCGGGTCGTCGCAGGCGTCGTAGCAGTCGGACGTGAGGAAGGCCTCGCCGGCCTCCTGGCAGTAGTAGTCGTCCACGCACGCGAACGAGATCGCGTCGTCCTCTTTCGAGTAGACGCTCTGCCCCGCGGCGGAGACGTTCACGCTTGGAGCCGACGGACACGGCGGGCATCTCGCAGTAGACGTAGGGCTCGCCGCTGCCGTCGTCGACCTGCCACAGGCTCAGCTGCGTACATGGGAGGGGCAGCCCGAGCTATAGACCGTGATGCGCGCATCGGAACCCCCGGACTCGGGCACCTCGAACTTGAGCGTGCGGCACGTGTCGTCGATGTCGAGCGACGTCGCGACGTCGTCGATGACCTCCAGAGGCGCCGACACCAGTGTGACACAGACTTAGCAAGCGCTGCCGGGAGAGGCGGTATTTTCCTGGCACGGGACGGTCCGTCCCCACGCTGGGGACGGACACTTCAAGAAAAAGTACAAGGCCAAAACTTAAAACGAGTGGCTGCGAAGGCGGCGACGGACCGGGGACGGACCGGAGACGGACACTAGCCAGCGCACAATGGACGCGCACCGAAACACGGCGCGTTGCGTCCCGCCCTTTGTGGCCTGTACGTGCAGGTGCGGCCGCAAGCCGCCACGCGACGCAGCGCAGCGCCGCGGCGTCAGCACTGGACTGTGTGGAGGGCGGGGCTGCCCCAGAACCGCACGCCTGCCCTCGTCGGGGCAGCCCCTGCTCCTCCGCGCCGTCGTGAGGCTCTCATCGACGGCGCGCGCGCGCCAGGCGGCGACCGCGCGCTGCGCGCCGCGCCGCGCGTCGAGCGCCGCGGCCGCTACCGCGGCCGCGCGGCCGCGCCGCGCGGCCGCGGCCGCCGCG